ACGGCCATGATCACTAGTCTGGAAATCTCTAGGGCTTGTTATTGTTAGCCTTGTCTCGGTATATCAATATGATGCGTCGGGGCATCTTTGGGTGGTTTAGGCAAGCTTGGCAGGCATACCGTCATTCAGCAATATTGCCCGGCACGCGCATCGAGGAAACCCTGCAGATGAGGAACAAGGCTAGACATGTCTAGACACAAGGCATGGCTGTTTCTATGTATGTTACAGGTATGGAGAAGAGGCGCCAACTCCCCACAGGCTGCAACAGTGATGCATAGCCGGAAAGGGTGCTGTGTCTAACCAGCCTCCTAAGTTGTGGAGCATGAACTTGGCTTGGCTGAGGAGGAGGAGGAGGAGCAGCATCCTCTGCCTGCAAAAATGGCCCTGCCTGCCTACGTTGATGTCCACAGGGTAAGATATGCGCCGTATTGGTACAGGCTGTGAACCCCAGTGCTGTGCATATAACGCTGTGGAGATGACCTATGGATGCAGAATGAAACAAAGGCGCTACATATGGCATATCAGGTGTGTATTTTGTCCCATATTGAGTCATGAATGCCAACTTCGAAACAAGTTTTGACTTTTTGGTCCCCCAAGTAGCGGATGAACGTGCCCAGAAAGTAGGAGGCAGCCACGTCAAGTCCTTAACAGTTGGTCACAGCCCCTACGAAATGCAATTTTGGCCGCATAAAGGGACTGAGATTGGGCTGAGCCTCAACGCATCTTTCTGGCTCAACTTCAGGCACGTATGCGGGGAGTTTGTCGTGACACGGCGGTCACTGGATTGGCCGCAGTAGTTGCTGCATTTTTGCCAGGTTCGAGGCGCATTGTAGTTGGTATCAGGCGAAATATGACGCTGGAGCTCGATGAAAACAGGAAGAAGAAGGGCAAGTTAATCAAGCATGAGGCCCTTTGGGCCCAGGCAAAAGATGAAGGTCGTCTGGACGAACAGATGGCAAACGGGAGCAAGACTACGGAGAAGTTCCCAAGGCTTGCAGCCATCTAGGAAGTGCCAAAGCTGGCCACAGTCTCAAGATGCAGGAACATAGACTGCGTAGGACTTATGCAGTTCACGGAAGCTCTAGAAATTCAAAACCAGAAACACACGGGCGGAGCTTGACAAATTGAATCCAAATGCGGCTCTAGGGTAGGTTATTGGTAAGAGGACCTCACGGCCATGGTATCGAAGATGAGTTAACGCGATGAGAATGTCAACAAGAGGCAATATTCTGTCTGCTTCAAGCCTCACATGGATGAAAAAAATATCTTGTATTATCTCCCTCTATATTTTTCAGCGGCTGAGATAACAATGGGTTTGATAGACACTGGCTGTGGGGACGAGCTGATGGTGATGGTGATGGTGGTGTGATTATCACCGCTTTATGAAGGCAGCCACCATGAAGGCATGTGCCGGGAACAGTTGCGGTACCCATTATGGTGACAAGCCCAATCCCAGTCTATTCGGTATGGTATTTGTTGAGCAAGTTCCGTTGTGCTTGCAACTTGCAGTGATAAATCATAGGCTAATGGCATTGGCAGGCAAACACGAGGCTTGAATGCCTCGTTCCCATAGTCACAGACCTGCCACTACACTTAAACGAAGAATTTACAAAAATATGATAGATATGGCTCTCGGCACGGAGACGCGCCTGACAACGGTCTTGTAGCTGCATACGGAATAAGCCCGTGTTAGGAGTTCTCGTAGCTGACTGGGCTGTGAAGTGAAGCCTTGACTTTGGTGCGTATTACTTGACATGTGCGAGAGCTAGGTCAGGCAACATTGAACAGCACGCACCAACATATCAGAGAATTGCCGCCTGAATCTACGTATCAACAACACCGGGTTGAAGCAAAGATGCTCGGCACCAAGAATTCACATTATGAGAAGTGACACAGCATCCATATTGAACCAGACACTTTGACACAAGACGCTTGCGTGCACTCGCTCCGCCTGCGCCTCAGCCCGAGGACCCAGCCTTAGCATCAGCCTCAATCACAACAACAACATCATCGCGGCGCGTACCTGGCCCACCTCACCTCGATCGAGGGACAGGGGCGCTTGGCTGGAGTTGTTGCGATAATCTCGTGTGCAAAACAGCGTATAACTTCCCGAGGCGAGGAGCACTCCGTACGACCACCAAACGCCGAGCAGCACCGGGTACTTACATAAGTACACATACGCTGTCTGGTACTTCCCGCTCGCGCCAGGCGCTTCAACGTCAAGACTCAAGAGGGGCAAGAGCCAGCCCATCACGCCTTCTGTTTCAAAACTCGGCCATCTATCGCGACCAGTCGACCTCGACCTGACCCCAGACCCAACCTGCAACTGCAACTGCAACCGCAACTGCAACTGCAACTACTCTCCAGTCTACTCCATCACAATTGGCGCCCGCCCGCATTTCAACCAGGAGTGTTGCGTCTCGAAGCGCCGCCATAGATCGTCAACATCCATCACGGCCGGATTAGTTTGTTTCCGCAGTGAGAGCTAGCCTCATCTGCCCCCTTGGCTGCATCGACGCTCGCCTGACGTGGCCGGCCGACCGATTCACAGCCAGCGAGCCGGGGAACCTGGACAGACCCGGCACCAGCTGCCAGACAAAGCTATGTGATGACATGGGAATGAACAACTTCCTGGTCACCATCTGGTCTCGTTCCTACCTCGTCGTATCATACCGAGTACGGAACAGTCCGTGGCGATAGAAAACATCCTGGTTTCGCCTTGGATCCCTCGGCCCCCGACCTGCTCAAGGAGCCCTTCACGAGACCTTGGGCCTCCAAGTCTTGCCAACTTCCCCCGTTTTGGCCTCGCCGCCTTTTCATCGTGGGTCATCCTGGTACTCCTCTGTCCTCTGCCCACGCGTTTTGGCTAGGTGACTGAAGCAATTGAGGCAAGACCAGATTTGTGACCTGCGTCTTCGGGCAGATCCCCCACTCTGACAATACCTTGGGACACCAAACACTCACCAGTTTTGACGCAGCCGTGTGCCAGCTGTCGCCACGTCCCGTGGTTGGGATCGAAACAATCTGTCCTACCGTTGGTTCTATCAGGATACCTTGAGAGCCTGCGTACCTGACGTCAGGACCGTCCTCATAGGGAAGAGACCACCGAGTACTTTTATCCATCATCCGGTCCTTCGGCCTCTTACACGCACAGTCCGCCTTTCGGTTCCTCTTCCTGGCAGCATGCATCCACTAAACCCCGCTGTTGATGACGGCCAGCTCATCCATGACATGCGGTTTAACCTAGCCTCGTTACCGCATTCTCCAGCCTCGCTATTACCCGAGGGTGTCTGGCTAGAAGATGTACCAGGCACTCCACTTTGTGCTTCGAGTGATGAGGTGGCAAGCCATTCAACGCTGGACGCTACTGGTGCCCAACCTCATCGGCCTCCTTATGTTGATTCGTGTTCGAGACCAGAAGCCGAGACGGACAATGGCTGTGTCGTATGCCCCGTTGACCGTACCAACGAAACTGATGACCATGTCGACAATGAGGACCAGACTGATGGCTGTCACCGCAATACCCCTGACCGATCTAGCATGGTAACTATGTTGTTGCGGAGCTCGGCTCCTCTCGAGCGCCTTCCCAACGAAGTGCTACTTCATATCCTGGGGTTCTTGGATGTTAGTGATTTGCTGGCAACATCTAGGGTAAGTTGATTGTTGCCTCCATTTGCCGAAAAAAGTGCTTCGTGATGTATATCCGTTTTCTTACTATTCTTCTACAACTTCTATTTTGACAGTGTCCGGGCAGATCAGTTTAGAATTGTATCTAGAAGTGATCGTGTTCCTATTTCCGCTACCGACGTTCCTCGCTCTGACTAATTAACGTGTAATTATAGACTAGTCATCTCCTTAGAAGTTTGTCCTTGGCTCCTATTCTTCATCACTACCGGCTTCGACGCACTCGACAAGTCTTGCCCCCATTACTTTCATCTCCTACTCGACCTACAGTGGCGGAACTCATTTCTCGTTCCATCTTTCTGACGCATACCTCCGTTGTATCTCGCCGTTTGGCCTGGTCACTCGTCTCTATTCGCCTGTCCAGAAGACTCGCGGCTCGTCCGTCTGCCGAGGCTCTTGTTCAGCGATGTGTGCTCCCAAAGGAGTGCGTACCTGGTATGTCGTCGGTTCTTATTGCGCCAGCATTGGTGGCGAAAAGGAAGGCGGTTGAAAAGGAAAAAGTCAAGGACGAACTCCGACGTTGGATTGCGGCAAAATGGAAGGGCGAAGTAAGAGAACGAGAGGAGGAGCTGAGACGATGGCATGAGAGTAGAGGAGTTGGCCGAGTTTGGAAATTGACCAAATTCTGGGAACGTGTAAGCCGGGGAGACCATCGCCCACTTTGTTGAGAATTTTACGACTCCGGCTAATCGGGATCTTCTTTTTCGGACTATTGAGGACATGTTGCAAGTGCTTGGCGTTTTGGTGAAGGATATGAGTGCTTTTGTATAACGACTGTACGAAACCTGAGATTTTATTTTATTCACATAGCAAGCGGGATCTTGCACTTTGCTTGCTGTCTGCTAGATAGTATTCTATTCCAGTTGACGGAACATGGCTTGATAAATTTATCGAAAAAATATTCTGAAGTTCCTCTAACTGTCGTTTCCATTGCACAAAACAAAGAACTATCTATGTCTTGATATGTGGCTAAGTATCATTGGCAGGAGGACGTGTATCTAGGACGTGTTTTTATAACCCTGTAGCCAATGTCTGCTACACCAACATCAGAGCAGTTGAATCAACACATCATCAATCCATGGAGTATCACAAAGAATTTGAGTCGGGAGACGAAACTTCTGCCAGAAACAAGCCATTGATCTCGACTGCCTAGTTTTTCGGTAGAACATGTCACTCGCCCAGCCGATGCCGATTCCAAACCAAACTCCTGTCCAATTGTACAAGTATGTAATACGCATAGCCCCTAATGTACAATGGCCAACCGGTCCTCGTAATGCCAGCCAAGTCCTCAACCAGAATACAAACCTGCATGCGCCTCATGTGCGGAACCGGAACCCATCCCAGTCATCCTCCTCTTCATCATCATCGTCGTCGTCGTCGTCGCCATCCTCTTCATCCCCAGAAACTCTTTCCTCAGCACCATTTTGATCTACTGCTGCTGCAGCCAAGGATGCCCCCTCGACAGGAGGAGCAGTTCCTAGACTTTGGCTCTCTCTTCTCTTCTTCAAAATCTGGTTCCTTCTCTCCTTGAGACTCTTGACCCGGGCTTCGAGTTCCTTCATCTCCGCGAATTCATCTTCCAGCGCGCGGGTGGCCTCTTCCTTCTCGTCCTCAATGTCCACGTCTGCTTGAGCCTTGCGGTCTGCGTCTGCGGCCTCTTTGGCGGCTACCTCCTCCGTTGTCATGGCCGGCGCGGAGATGACTGCCCCTTGGTCGTAGGGCGCCTCCGCCGCAGCGATGTCCGCCTCGAAGGCGGCCCATTCCGACTCATCGACTTGCTGGGCCGCTGAGCCCGTCTTGTCTGCTGCGGAGGCTGCTGCTGACGCTGCGGTAGGTGCTGGACCCGTGACGTTGGCGGCCGAGGCATTGCGATGCAACGGCGTCACGGGGCCCGTCTGAGACTGGAGGGCAAAGTATCCCCCTGATGCGGAGGCCGAAGACGCCGAGCCACCTTCTCTATGAGCGGGTGTTGCCGGCCGCGACGGGATCTGGAGTTCAACGCCCTGCGAGGGCGTGGTGGAGAGTCTGCGGATCAGGTTGGGCGGCGTTTTTGTGCTCTCTTTGCTGTTGTTGCTACCGGCGCTGTATACTTGGTCTGGCGTACTGGTGCTTCCGCTCTTGGCTGCGTGTTCCTGAGCAGCGGCGGCGGCGGCAGCAGGGGTGCCGTTGAAAGCTATGCCCGTGAGAGGCGCGATATCAGGCTTGCTACGCTTGACAGGGACGGCGTCTTCCATTTCCCTGTCCTGCTCCTGCTCGTCGACGGGCTCAAGTTTCCGCTTGTGAATGGGGACGGCATCATTTGGGGCTGGCTCCGGCATTGGACTTGTTGAGGTTGTCTGGGTGACCTTTTTCTGCTGTACTCTGTGCTTGTGGCCCTGGCTGAGCAGATGGCCGTCCCATAATGATTCGGCCTTGACTTGTTCTCTGCAGAGGGTACATAACAGCTTTCCGGCGGCTGAGTAGGCAGCATGAGGGTGATCTATTCTCCGCGAGGCCTTTTGCTGGCGCAGGAGAGACCTCGCGTCGGCCATGGCGGCGGCGAGATGTGTCGTGTGATGGGTTTGACGATGGAGTAGGTTAGGGATGGAGGTTGCATGTGGGGAGGGGGAGCTGCGGCAATGCAGTAATGTGGTGATGCAGAGTCTTTTTGCAGCTGGGCGCTGCGTTCAATTGGCCATTGCGGGCAATGTGCATGTGAGGAATTGCAGTGGAAAGGCGCAGCCAGCGGTGTGAGACGTCAAGTGATGGTGAAAGGTTGGTCAGACGATGATGATTGACGAGTCTGGTTTGAGCACTGGCACCAGACCAGACGTCAGGATTCAGCTGCTTCAACATGAATGTCTGGTCAAGTTGCATGGGCGCCTGGAACGGCTTCGGCGCCCACCAGCTGCAACTGGAGCTGTCAAGCTTTGGCTCTTTAGCGGTCGAAACGTCCACTAAACTATTGACCTATTGAATGTAATAAGCGACATTGATTGAATGTCTGGTTGTTTACCCCGGCCTTTACCCGGCGCAACATGTAACAGCAACATCGAAGGCTGCACCTCAACTCCCATTCGACCATGGCGAGATATTCCACCTCGCAAGACGCACTCAGCAATGGCCGAACAGGAACCGCACTCGCTCGCGTCCACATTTCCCAACCCGCCTCCCTTCTGGAAAGACTTCACACCGGACAGAGTAGCGCGGATCGACGAGCTACGGAGCGCATTTGCCGGAGGCGCCAGCGACCATGCCTCCTCGCCCGTTGTCCGCATCCCCGGCTTGCCAGAAGAATTGACGAACCTACAACCGCCCCCAGAGCCATCGGACGGACGGTGGCGAGTCTTTGGCGACCAGTACATGGTACGGTAGATGCCACCTCCTCATGCTCCTCCTGGCACTAACTGGTCCTCCATGTAGCTGGACGATAAACTGCCCACCCTCGAAGAACAAGGCATCACCAACCTGCCCACCACAGGCCTCTCCGACTCCAAGGACGCAAAGCACTACGACCGCGCATTCGAACTCAAGAAGCTCGTCAAGTCTCTGCTCCTCAACTTCCTCGAGCTCGCCGGCACGCTGTCGCGAAACCCCGCCCACGCAGAAGCCAAGATTCAGGATCTGCGGACGCTGTTTATCAACATCCACCACATCCTCAACGAGTACCGGCCCCATCAGGCGCGAGAGTCGGCCATCGCCATGATGCAGGACCACCTGGACAAGACGCGCAGCGAGACCGACGCCATAAGAATGCAGGTCGAGAAGGCAAAGAGCGTCCTGGAGGGCCTGGGGAAACTTGGCCAGGGAGACGTGGAGCTTGCTGGGGAAGAGGGTGCCGGCGAGGCGGGGGATGAGACGGAAACCATGAGGATTAGGAGGGAGATGGACTTGTGGGCCGCTGCGGATGCCGAGTTTGCACTGTGAGGGTTTGCTTTTTTTGTTTGCGTGAAATTCTGGTTGAGCATCAGCATGGCGTTTCGGGGTACCCATGATGCCGCGGCATCTTTTTTGCATTGACGGCCCGGGAGGTGTATTTTCTTTAGAACAACATAGTTCCCGTTCAAACCATTTCAGCCATTGCTCATACTTTGTCACCGCGCGTAGGCGGCAGAATTTATACTTGATACAGTCGAAGCAATGTGCGACTGCTCGAGGGTTCGCAAGGTTTCTCAGGGAGGCGTTGTTACGCAGGCATTCGCATTGACAAAAGCTGGGCTGACTTGACTCGCTGCACCTTTTTCCAAACTTGATAGATCTGCAATGACATGTATAATTTTTTTTCTTTTTTTGGAGATCAAAGTACAGTCCTCACATTGCACTGGGTCACGATTCTCTTCGGCAGCCAGTGAGTGAAGCACCGCAGTAAATGTGATGATGGCCCATCGCAACGAAAAACATGACTTGATACAATAATCAGCGTAGCATTAACATCTTAGTCATCTTATATCGGACCCTACAATATCTTGCCGGCTGTTGATGTGTTCCAAACTTTTTTCTCCGCCATACTCCTTAACACCTCCCGTGATACCCTGACACCTATCCCGCTGTTCCCATGAGATAACAATATCGCAGAAAACCCCTCATGATATGTACATGGTGTATAGCCGGGTGAATTACATTGCCAATTCGATCATGTAAAAGTCCGTCAGACCCGGTAAACTGAATTTCCTAGGCATTAACGTGCCCATGGCCTATTGCGACCCGCCTACTGCACTCCCTTGTGTTCGTTTCTCGGAGCCTTCCTTCTCCAGAAGAGCGCCTAGGTACTGGAGATCCTGTCGTGCTCGTGGGTCCTTTTCATAGATTGACCTTATCACTTCCCACTCAAGTCGAGACATCTGGAACGCTTGAGGCAATAAGAATTGTACCGTGGGTACACTAATCAAGTCACCCAACACCTGCGCTGCAACCGCCTGTCCTGCCTGCTGAGCTTGGTACTTTTGGGCCTCTGTCAGTTGATCACCCGCCGGGGGGGAGTGACTGGGTGGAGGAACTGCAGTCTGCGGAGGTGGTCGTTGCATATGCGGCGGCTGTGGGATAGGGACTGGTGTAGTCGACTGAGGAGGCCCTCCGTGGTGCTGCTGGCCAAATGAGCCCTGCGGTGTCGCTGGGGAGAAAGCTGGCCCAGACGTCGAGCTGCTTCTTTGCCCACCAGGTGCAGGCGTAGGAGACGCGGTGACGCTGGGAGGCTGAGGCGTAGCAACGGGGGTGAGCTCGTCCTTGTTGGTTTGCTTCAGCTGATCTGGTTCGTTGCGATACACGAATACGGCCAGAAGCATGGGCTCCGTTCTTGTCTTGGGGATGTAATTATCGACCAGGTTTAGCATAAACTCGGGGTGACCATCGTCGCCGGCAGGCACAGGCACAAGGTACGTGTCCCTGACATTTCCTGCGACCTTGTTTCCAACGACTCCGTATCGACCTTTGCTAATGAAGTAGTCGACCAACGCCCTGAAATCTGGCTGGGATTCCGCTGATGTCGGGGTGATGCTGACAACAACTATGTCGGTGAGATTACTGTATCGAAGACTGCACAGGTACTCAATGGCGCTCTGTTGCGTAATGCGTCCGGCAACCGTCATTCGCCTGGGAATGAGTTTTGACCAGGGGCCGAAAGAGGCGAAATTGGCGCCTCCGACGTGCTTGGCCATGGCTGGAAAATCTGCAATGGAGCTCATGGCAAGTGATCCCTTCCATATAACATCAGGGTCTTGCGATTCTTCAGTTGGAGAATAAGGCGGGGACTCCGTCTCATCTTGCAGCATTCGATCAACATCGGGATCAAATCCAGGGCCGCTGGTATTGAGAACTGGCGCAGACGGTCGACGGTTTTGTGATAGTGTCGGCGATTTGACCGTTGAAAACACCTTGTTAATGTCAAAATTGGACTGCGAAGGTGAGTGTTGTGCTTCAGGCTGAGTTGGCGATCTCGCTTTCACTTCGCCATGGTCTCCCCCAGTCGGCTCTCGTTTGACAAGCGGTGGATGCTGGCTGACGCCTTTCCGAGGACCGCCAGCCATGGGCAAAGGGGCCTCGTTAAGGGCGGTTTCGTCCTCAACTACCTCCTCCCCCTTGTGAGTTCTTCGAACACGCGGGCCAGTCTCTTGTGTGTATAAGATGGATTGCTTCTCCGCCTTCGCTCTCATCTCAGCAGTTTGCTTTTGTAGTTCGGCCGACGCGAGCTGTTCTGAAGTCATGACAGCAAGGGTCGTGGGCGAGTGTATGCCATGCAACAGACCTTGCATCACTTCCGGGTTATTCTTGAGGTTGAAGGTCAGAGACTTAATCTGATGGTTATACTCTTTCTGACCCTTGGATGCTGGGTGCGTATCGTAGACAGCGCGCTCGATTTGTAAGGCATATTCCTCAGACATGCTGTCTTCTGTCTTGCCGTCGGGAACCCTGAGTTCCCCATCCTTCGCAATGATAGCCAGAACATGAGCAATGGATTTCTTCAGAGCCTTGGCAGGGCCTGAACGCGATGCAGCCAATTCAGATATCGCCGAAGCCAGATCATCAGGTTTGGTGTATTTGGCGGCCGCAGGAACTACATCACGCTCTGATACTCGACGTTGTTTAGCTGCCTATTAGACATTAGCTTGCATTCATAGTGCGCCACATGCAAGTGGATGTAAAGCAATTGATATCTTACCTTGCCATCTGTGTCCTGCGACTCCTCTCGAATTTTTCGCTTTCCCTGCTTTGAAGCGGGCTCTTTTCTATCCTTTGATGCGGGCTCAGGTGCAGGCGAGGCCTTTGCCTTGGCTTTGCCGTCCTTTTCGAGCTCATCCTTAGAATCGCTGCTTCGTTTGCCCTTGCCTCTGCGCCCTCCCTTCTTCTTCTTTCTTTCAGCCTCTTCTTCTTCGTGTGCCTTGCGTCGAGCCTCCCATGGCTTTTCTCCTCTGGCTATGCCTGCCAGGAGCTCTTTATGGTCTTCGGGTCGACACTGTTCGCACCAGTAGTTGTCGGGAATTTCGTCCTCAAAAGAGCTTACGCCGACACAGACATTGTGCTGCCAGGCATAGCAGGTCTCGCAGGAGATCCAGGCCTCCCCTGAATCTTCATCTTGTTCGGTTGCTCCACAAACACACCGAATAACCTCCTCGGGTTCCTGGGATTGATCCTTCTCTTGCGCCTTCTTGGTCTTCTTGGTCTGTCGTCGTTTCGGCGCAACTGCAGGTTCGAGCTCGTCAAATGATTTCGTGTGTTGACCTTTGGTTGCTCTGACCGAGCGCCTAGGCTCTGCCTCTCCTATAGACATGGTGTTAGTTGCTTTGTCTGATGCCTGTCGCATTCCGTCCTTGAGTTGCACATAATGCGCAAGCCCCTCGGGCGTGCGTTTTGGACCCAGTAGAGTGAAGTTGGTTTGAGCTTACCAGACATCGCGTCTTATGTGGCAGGGAGTGGTATCTTGTGGCCGCAAGTGGGAGCGACGCGCGTGATAAGGGTCTTGGTGTTCGGTTGCTGTTTCCGGTAACTTCGCGATCTACTTTTGCAGGCGAGGAGTGTTCAAAGACTGTCTAGCTCTCTCAAACAGGCATTTGAAATTTACGACGCTGACAGGGCTAGAGTCACGACTATAACAAGGAAAAATTTGCCGAGAACAAATCCAACCACAGCAAGCAACCCTTCTATCTCCGAAAGAAATACTCCCAAATGGCACACAGTATTATGCGCGATGTTTATTTTCCGACTTTAATGCGGACCTTAACGTGAAGGCGACTCAGTCTTGTTGTGCACCTGGGAGCTGTCGCGACCAAAAAGTGGGAAATGGCGGGTTAAAAAAAAGAAGCGGAGGAGTGGGCGATGCAAAAGGCCGTTGGGCGGTGGGCAATTAAAGCTCGCGCCGCGTCAGCGAAGAACACCGTGCTGCACTTGCGCAAACCGTTGCAAGGAGCAGAATATCTGGAATATGAGTAGTCAAACGGATGGGATCGTGAAAACCCGCGCACAGGTTGATAGAAAGGCTTCAGCCGATCCTGGCTGACACCGACGTACAATGTTGATGTGGATGGAAGAGGCAAGATCTCGAAGCAGTCCGTTGTGGCGGAAGGCGTAGTCGAGATAAATTCGAGGACCTTCGCTGGCAAGTGGCGTCGCCTGCTTGCTTGGCTAATCGTCCACCCAACCAGCTCCTGTTACGGACTCCCATTACCCATGCTCACGTGCAGACCACACCCCATTCACGCATCACGCTTCAGGTTTTAACATTTTAAGTTCAGCGCTGCCTCCCCTCTCAATTGTGTGAAACTAGAAAGTTCTAAAAACCGCACTCGTAAAACTTGTTAAGCTATATAGACGGTCAAACATGACGCACACCGCATCCCTATTTCCAGTACGGAGTATGCCGGCTGCATTGGGCGTCTCATATCAGCTCAGTAGGTCAACATCAGGGCTTTTCTCTATCCAAGACTATTCGATGGAGACATCCTGTGGAGATGGCGAGTGGAGCCTGGGCTTTCAAGCAAAGCAGGCGGCGCAGATAACTTGGCTGTACGGAGCATCGGTAGAATTTCGGCGAAATCAAGTCATCTGAGTCAGCGTATGTTAGTCAGCAAAGCAATGCAGTTGCAGCCTGAGGTATCAGTCACTCCCCACGGTGAGGATGGAGCTTACCTACGCGGCTAGCTTGTGCCTGGAGCTCTCGCGACAGCAAGTGACGCCTGTGGTGAAGCATCTCAAACCCACCTGCAGACATCATCAATTCATTGTTTTGCTCTCCTCCGCCAACCATCGAGACATAATAACTTCAAATCCTAAAAGAGAGCGACTCGCATCTTAGTTTCTCTACCGCTTGACCTGACAAACCGGCCGTCTCCGCAGCCATGTCTCGCCGTTACGATTCCCGAGTACGTCGAAACGTTCTTTTGGATACTAGTAGTTCCTTAAGCTCAATAACTAACCCGCGACGCCTGTAGACAACAATCTTCTCACCAGAAGGCCGTCTCTACCAGGTAGAGTATGCTCTGGAGGCCATCTCACACGCCGGCACTGCCATTGGCATCCTCGCCAAGGATGGTATTGTCCTCGCGGCAGAGCGTAAAGTCACTTCCAAGTTGTTGGAACAGGACACATCAGCGGAGAAGCTGTATGTTCTGAACGAGTAGGTTTCAGCTTTAATGCATTATCGTATCTGCTCAGCTACGTTGTCTAATAGCCCTTAGCAATATGATTTGCGCAGTTGCTGGCATGACCGCCGACGCCAACATTCTCATCAACTACGCTCGCCAAGCCGCCCAGCGATATCTCCTCACCTACAATGAAGACATTCCTTGCGAGCAGCTCGTTCGCCGCCTCTGCGATTTGAAACAGGGATACACCCAGCACGGCGGTCTCCGACCCTTTGGTGTTTCGTTCATCTATGCTGGTTGGGACCCTCGAAGGCAATTCCAACTGTACCTTAGTAACCCATCTGGCAACTACGGTGGCTGGAAGGCAACCAGCGCCGGCGCCAACAATGCCAGTGCCCAGAGTTTGTTGAAGCAAGACTACAAGGAGGATTGCACACTGAAAGAAGCTTGTGCCATGGCTGTCAAAGTGTTGAGCAAGACGATGGATTCTACCAAGCTAAGCAGCGAGAAGAGTGAGTGCGGACGTCAAACAGTTCTACAATGATTTGCTTTACTAACCAGCTATGTAGTTGAGTTCGCCACAGTAGGACAGACGGAAGACGGCAAGATTTATCACAGGCTGTGGAATGCGGATGAGATTACAGCACTTTTGAAGGAGCATGATTTGGCCAAGAGCGAAGATGCTGAGGAGAAATAGGCAGTCCAAGACAAAGGATAGACGGGATTGATTTAGAAGCGGGCCGCCCTGTGGTGGCCCTTGTAATAATACAATGAATGAACTGAACGATATGAAGCCCAAGCGCAAGTCGAGTTCTCTTGCCGGGCGGCATACTCTGTGAGGCTTGACATGCCGACGTATCCCGGATTTCTATATGCAACGCTATTTCCTCGTACAAATCTATATGTATACTTTCACCCATGCTCCCTAGAATATCGTACATGCAAACACAACTTGCTCATTTCAGCATGCTGGTATCAGCCTCTTGACGGTCGTTGTGGTTGAAGCTCATATTCGTCATCCATAGCACGGCCACCTTCCTCCTCATCACGAACCCTCTGCCATGCTGCAGACTGCAAATCCGCGCCCGGTCGAGGATACGGCTCATGGCACCTGGCAATCGACAATCTCGGCCAATGACGTCTATAACTCCAATATGCTACACTCATCCCCAGCACTGATCCAACACAGACGTCATATACGTCATGTCTGTAGTCTTCACAGCGCGAAATGGCAATCAGTGTCGCCGCAACCAGGGGTGACAAGCAAATCAATGCTCTACCTAGATCCCTCCCTCCAATTGGGTGATGGAAAATGTGTAATTGTCCGGCAAGGAACAGGCTCAAGAAGCCTAATCCTGCAAAGGAGAACGATGAGTGACCAGATGGAAACGATCGCCATCCATCCTGTAACTTGTGTGATTCCCCAGCGGTGCAGACCTCGATAGTGACCAAGACATTCTCTTTAGTTCCAGGGGACGGGTGGCATCGATCCAGGAGGTCAGGACGAGGTCGACCCACGGCGTTCTTGACCACGTCGGTGAGAAATAATGTGAGGACTATGGATATGAAAAAGGAGAGGTAGGTGACTTCATGCTTTACGATTGGCGATCTGGCGGTGAGGTTGTAGAGGATGAGGACGCCTAGGGGAATGAAGAAGGCATATATGAACAGCCAGGCTGGGCTCAGTTAGCTGGCGGTGCTCATCGGGCCTCCAGTTTCGAGAACATGATTGACGTACGGACAGATACCCTCTCATGTACAGCATGAGGATATGCGATATGAAGGTCATTGATGAAAAACATTCGGTGAAATGGCGTGACAAACAATGCGAGCTTTGGCAAGTTAGCGACGAGTACAACGGGAAGGGGGTCGGGTAATGAGTCCAACAGCAAGCCATCCCGCTATCAATATCACGAGTCCAACATACTCCGGAGCGTGCGTAGTCTAGAGAATCATTAGAAATGAAGTTGCATGGCTGCAGTTGAGACTGTTGGTCTCGATCGGGTTGAAGGGAGAGCTTACTTGCCAAGCTCGACCGAGGAACGCCACGGGTCCGCCGGATACTCTGCGAGGAGCCATGGCGATAAACAAGAGGATTCAATTGCCCGGTCCAAGTTAAAGATACTTAATGGAGGCCATGGGAATTGTTTGCTACGAAGCAAGAGGCTTCGGCGCTGTTCAAGTAGGTTGATGCTGCGAACACGACGTCGAAACAACCAAAACAGGGATGATGGCAAGAATTAATGGGGCTTGAGGTTCCGGCCTGCTAGGATCAGACTCCATTGGCGAAATCGTTGTCAAGTCGCACTGCCGTAACAGAGCTGTTGAGGAGAACGGGGAATATCTTTGTTGTGCTCAGACACTGACGATGCAGTTCACAATTTCACGGCCAAAAGCTAATTTCGAAAACTCACCAATTGTTATATCTGCCTACCTGCCTAATAGGTACGTAAATGCAATTGTGCGTCGGATGGACCTTCCAAGGTCGAGGTCAACGGTTATTTCAAGTACCCAGGTACTTCGGATGGATGCTCCACTATCGCTCTCAAGCTCCAGCTCAGTGGCTGATTCGGCATTGACGTTGACATCCAAAGCTTTGATCTCCAAAGTATTCACGAATCCTCCTCAAAACGTCTGCAACGATGGCGAGCGCTGGCGGGCTCAAATCGACATACAAGCCATCTGCTGCTGCTGCGGCAGCGTCGGCCCCATTACCGCCAGGGTGGACAGAACATACCGCGCCAACAGGACACAAATACTACTACAATGCATCAACAAAGGAATCAACTTACCAGCGACCTGGCCTGCCGCCACCCTCTGCAGTGTCGGCGCAAGACGCATACTCGCCGTACGCGAATCTCCCGTCGCTCGCCGATCCACGGGTGGCAAACGCATATCTTGCGCAACTTAATCCCCAGAACCAGCCCCGAGCTCGAGGCGCTCACAGCGGTCGAGGTGGCAGTAGGGGAGGGTTCGAAGGCAGGCCGAAGCCACAACCCGTTGATAAACCGAGGAAGGCAGAGAAGATTCCAGGATGTGAACCGTGGCTTCTTGTGTACACGAAGTATTCCAGACGGTTTGCTTATAATCCAGTGAAAAATGCGAGTTACTGGCGCATCCCAGAGAAGCTTATGGAGGGTATCCTTGAGTTAGATAAGGCACGAATACGGGGCAAAGCCACTGGCACAGCAGAGGATGCCAAAAGCGAGAAAAATGCGGAGAATAAAACAGGGGATCTGGCCGAGAAGCAGCATGACTACGACAGCGACGAATATGAAGAGATCGAGGTACAAGTGACTGACGATGAGGGTGGTGATTCCCTTGACACTGAGCACCCGTCTAAACGACGGCGGACAAATAAAGGCGAATCTGAAGAAGAAGTGGTAGAAGAAGAGGGGGAGGAGGAGGAGGAGGAGGAGGAAGAAGAAGATGAAGCAGACGGCCCTGTCGAATTTACTGAGGCAGACATTGCCGCGCAACTCCAAGCCATGGGAGAGGAATACGGTCTCGAACCAGGCGACTACGACGACGGCAATATGGAGAGCTGGCCTGAGGGCACAGAGGGGGTTGAATTTTCGGAAGAAGACGCCAAGCTTCTCTTCAAGGATCTGCTCAACGACTTCAACATTAATCCCTACAGCCCATGGGATAAACTCATCGAAGAAGGCAAAATTATGGACGACCCACGGTACACAGCCCTCACTACAACACGAGCGCGCAAAGAATGCTGGGACGAATGGATGCGCGAGAAGATTACCGAACTCAAAGAACAGCGAGCCAAGCAGGAGAAGAAGGACCCCAAGATCGGATACATGGCTTTCCTGCAAGAAAAGGCCACGCCAAAGTTGTACTGGCCTGAATTCAAGAGAAAATATAAAAGGGAGGAAGCGATGAAGGATATGAAACTGTCCGACAAAGATCGCGAAAAGGCATACCGCGAACATATAAGTCGATTGAAGATGCCACAAGCAAAGCTAAAGTCTGATCTCACCGCGCTACTGAGAGCTCAACCCATCCACTTGTTAAATAACAAGTCCTCGCCGACGAGTCTCCCTACTCCTGTACTTATTGATCTGCGGTACATTTCATTGGATCCCAAGATTCGCGACCCTCTTGTGGAAGCCTATCTTCAGACGCTGCCGCCGCCGCCGGAAGACGTTGCAGCTTCCGAGGAAGATGGGGAAAAGAAGAAGAAGGCGAGGGAGGCGCGAGGCAAGCGCGAAAAGGCGCTGGAGGAGAGAAATCGAGTTGTGGAAGAGCAGAAGAAGCGGAGAGAGAGGGATCTCATGGCTAGCAAGGCGCGGTTGAGAGATGAGGAGAGAGAGTTGGAAATTGCGATGAGGGTAGGTAAACGGGGCTTACAGAGTCAGTTGCAGGATGAGGCATAAATGCTTATACCAGGATCCGCAAAAAAACCCTGACCTGAAGTATCTTGCCGTATAATGCATGCTACTTGTGAAAGGTTTATGCTCACCCCTGATGGTAGGGTCTTTTGTCTGGGGAAACATGGCAACCTGGATGCCTACAGCCAACAACAACATATTACATTTGATACCACCTGTTGGTTGCCCAGCTTTGCCAATCTCGTGTCAGAATCTGTAATGAACATCATGACAAGACACTCACGGTATATTCGCGCACATACCGCAGTTCTTGCAAAACCATCGCCATCACAACCCGTCAAAGACGTCCTTTGCCCTCCGTTCAATATCTGCCGCCCACCTCATGACATCCTCCGTCCCCGAAATCCCTTCGTCCGTAACATATACATCCACCAGCCCATTATTAACCCACTCAAAATACACATTTCTCACCTTCACATCTCCTCCTGGCCGTTGCCCTCTCACCACTCCCACACTATCCCAACCCCGAGTCACCTCACCAGCATCATTGTCCTCATGCCCTGGCGCTTCAAACGGCAGCACCTTTTCCTTCTCGCTCACAACCACAACCTTTACATTGTTCGAAACGTGCCTCGCCGCTAGAACAGCCGGCAACGAACCCGTCTTATTGCTCACATTGCCGTGTCTATCAATCAGGTCCGCTCCGAGGAGGAGTAGATCCACGTCCTGGGAGGCTATGCCCGCCGCGGCATCCGTCATGACCGTGATATCGACACGCGATGAGAAATTGTGCTCAGCAGCAAAGGAGGAAAGCTTGTAAGCGAGTTTGGCACCTTCGCAGAGCGGGCGGGACTCCAAGATGCGGAGATCGAGTCTGTGGCCAATGCTGGCGAGCGCATGCGTGAGGCAGCTCGCTATCGTCGAACTGGACGACAGCGTGAGGATGCGAATGGGCCCATCAGCAGGGCGCTGCTGCAGAAACGCGGCGAAGGCGTTTGCGATCCTGCTCGCCGACGCCTCCCTCTGCCTGGCAAGCTCGTCCAAGGAAGCAACGATATCGTCGACCACGTCTGCCGACAGGCCCTCGCTGGTCTTTTCGCGAACCACATCCAGGCCGGCCAGCACGACGCTCAGAATCGGCGCCCCCATGCTCTCCCTCCCGTTTTTCCACAGGTGCCAGCCCGCCCGTCGTGCGTTCGCCCACCAGACCTCCTTGTCGGAGATGTCCGACTTCTTCAACACGTCGGCGAAGGCGCCCAGTGCAATTCCCGCTAGCTGTCGCGCGCCGCTCTCATGATCGCCCTTCAACCTCGTCAGGCTGGCGTCCAAGACTGGTGCCGCGGCGCCGAGGTCGAATTCAAGCCACACCCTTCGCAGGCTCTCTAGCAACTTGGGGACGCCGTCGACTTTTTGATCGTCGGCGACGTCCGCTGGATCAAACCATGCGTAATCGTCGTGCTCCCAATCAATTGTAATCTTGGAAGGATCACAGGTAAGAATGAATCCAAAGGGGTTGATGGTCCATTCGCGCTGGATGGATTCGTCGACAAAGGAATACGGTTTTCCTTGGCGGAAGAGTGTGAGTGAGCATGGAGTGAGGGTCGTTTCTTCTTGAATTTCTCGCCACGCTGTTGTGAGAGGGTTTACATCGAAGGACTCAATGGAGCCGGATACCGGTGCATATTTGTGTCTGCTTTTGTGTTAGTCAGTCCATCGAAGTAGGGGAGAGGGAGGCTTGTTATCGGGCGTTGTGAAAGAAGGGCTAGATGATAGCGACGAACTGGTAGGTGCGGACTTTGTCGCTTCGCTTGAAAAGAGCGACTTTTGGTCTGGTGTTTGTGGTGTCGTCTTTGGGGAATTGGAAGATAAAGCTGACTGCCACGGAACGCTTCTTGAGCTGAGACATGGTCGATGATGGTGTAGTGAGACGGTCTGATGGAGTTTGGTGTTTGTGGGAGGCGTGAAGCATGCTCCCGGAATTTTATGAACAAACCAATGACGAGGCCTCGTGTAGGAGTACTCCTAATACCCTGATCGTCATGTTGGCCAGAGTGAGTGCATCGTGCAATGAGAGAGGCATGGAGCATGACGCTCGCATGGCGTGAGCTTAATAAATACGGGAACTTGATTATAATTGGTGGAGACCTCACACAGCTGTCACTGACGCCACGACAAGTGAGTTTGCAATATTCTAATGAATACAATATGAACTAAGGCGTTTATAAAATTCAAGATATCAAATTCTTTGCCCCCTTGAAGTAGGTATAGACCGTCTAAATGAAAATACGCCCAGTAACCGCGATATCATAATAGCCCACTCCGTCTCCAAATAATTCGCCAAAATCTAAATCAAAGTTCATACGCAACCAGACATGTATAAATCGTCGTTACTCATTCACGTAACTGTTATATATCGGCCAGTCGTCACCCATCCATGTAACTAATTCGTCGTATAACACTGGATCGTCTCCGATGGGCATAGGAGGTGGCGGAAGCTCCTGAGAAACAAGGTGAGGTGCTATAGTAGGAGCAGAGGAAGAAATCGTGCTGAGAATGGGATCCTGACCCAACGGTGCCGTAAGTCTTCCAACCAAGCAACGGAGCTCTTGAAGGGTTTCTGCACATCGCTGGCCATCTGTGTTGCCCTTGCTGGCAGCCTCGAGCATCTTTTTAATGCCATAATCTACATCGTTCATGGCGGCAATAGCCTCCTCTTGTGAGGATTCTTCTCTGAAAACAAGGGGTCGAAGAATGAGACACACAGCAGCATGGAAGATAAAGTGCAAGCCTGCATGCAGAGTCTTGCGTTGCCCATTCAACGTTGATAAGTGTCGCGCAAGTGCCATATTACGAATTGCAGCGGAAATACAGCACTTCAGATTCTCAATCTGAGGAACGCTATCCATGGTGGTCGTTTGGCCCATCAGACGATCAGCGACCGCTCGCTTGACGGCGGATAAGAAGAGGGGTCGAATAGCCACGACGAGAAGTTGGTTGTATCTCATATGCAACAAGCAGCTTGCGGGATCGTTGCTCAATCCTTTAATAAGTTGTAAGGCTGGTGGAAGAGCCGATTGCCATTGTTCAAGCATCCATATGGCATTATCCGGCTGACGTGTCCCCGCCTCGATCTTCGCTCCACGGTAAGTATTGCCAACAACATGTCCCGAGATGCGAGAAAGCTCAACATGAGCCCTCAGCCCCGCGGCAGGAGGCATCAGTCTGAAGATATTGTCAGTAAGTATTTCTTTCCTGAAAGATGCACCTCATACGTACGCCTCGTCTGCTGGCAGTGGCAATTGGATGGCCTCGTCTGTGATTGTAGGAGGCCGTCCGGTGAGACAGCTTAACCAACGGTCAAGGCAATACACTGACCAAAAGACCCTCTTGCCTCGCTCGTCAACCCATCCTCGATGGGCACCGAGCATGATGCTAATGTGCATAGCAGCAGTGACATACATGTAAGCCGCATCTGGTCGATTTGTCTCGACAAGGTAGAAACTCATCATGGCAAGAGAAGCGACATCACCAATAGTGCGACGCTTGATCTCAAGCGGATTACCCAGAAGCATAGCAGCTCGTGCGTAATATGGCTCGCTCAGGGATGGGTGGGAATCCGAGCTTGGCGGCGGTTGGGTTGTGGTGCTTTGGCATGCCACGGCGAGAGCAGCGTGATAAAAAGCCAAATGACGATATGCGCTCAAGTCCATGTCTGGCGAGGGTGAAACTGGCGCTCGAACGGGGATTGTGCCCAAGTCTCCCCACCAGTAGATGCCACCACTTGGCCACTGGCCACCACCATCCTGGATGAAGTGCCGCAGTTCGGATAAGACGACGCCGATGGTGCTGTCAGGGGGCAGCCATAGAGGGTTCACGGCGTGGTTGAGTGGACGCTGGTCATCGACAGTGTAGTTGCCCAAGCTTGACAAGAAGCTGTTCTGGTCAACTCGGGCCGGTCTGTCTTGTGGCGAGGTAGGAAGAGCCGCGCCCATCAATTCCTTGAGGTGGTCGAGAAAGGTGGCACCAGCAGTCTCACCCATATATCTGCCCATACCGTCGGCATCTTGAAGTAAACGTCCGGGACTCAGCACCGCGTCGTCGTCTGCCGGCTCGGTCTTGATCGAGTTGGTTCCGGATGGCTGGCTGTGGACTGTGTTTGCCAGTCCGGCGGCAGACTGGACGGTACTCGCAAAGGGGCTGGTTGGTGATGAGGAATCGGGGCTGGCGGCGTGATGCAGAAGCTCCTGGCGTCTCGTTGGATCCGCCACTGCATCATGTAGAGCCTTCTCGTAGACTTCGACCTTCTTTCTCAGGTCGTCCAGCTCGGCTCGGGGAACAGAAACCTTCTCAACGACGGTAGGGTAAACGCAATCGCGGGCGGTCGAGGCGCATTGGCTGCAGGGGCGTTCACCAGAGCACTTGATCCGGCGTACATTGCAGCTGTTGCATCTGTTCAGAGCGCCCAGGAGGGGCGCGCAATGGTTAGCCAACTGTTTTGTGTCTGTGTCTAGGTTGTAGGCAACTCTTCAGTACATCACCGAGGCATTTCGAGATCTCAACAGTGGCACGCGCTTGGGTCGAGCTGAGCCGAGCTGAGTTGACCTGTCTCAACCTGTCTCAATCCCCCACCGGTTCACGCCACGCATTCAGGAACGAGGAAATTGCTTCTGCGCGCCAGCGCCCCCCAGAAGCCAAGTATAAGAAGAGAGAGGCCACTTACGCTGTCGCAACTCGTTTGCGATGCTCTGGGGCTACCTTGTGGCGCCGAGGGTTGACAGGAAGTCGTTGAGAGGGTCGTCGATCGCCATGGTCAAGCTGCATCTTTCTCTGCGACGATAAGCCCACGTCACAGGGTACGAGGCACGAGGCACCTTGGTCTCGTGCCAAAAGCTATAGATACTACACGAAAAGACACAAGGCTTAAGCTTTCCCCTTCTTTATTCGACAAGCCGGTAAGAGCACCAAAGAAAAATAGAAAACCGACTAGTTAGGGCGAGACAACCGACTGAGTGATAATAGTATGTAATGGTGAAAAGTGGCGGGGTAAAACGACAGCTGGGCCAACGGTCCGCAAAAGCGTGAAGTGATGCTGACGAGAGGCAATTGGAAACAAAGTGCCGAAAGCACAGGAGAAATAAGCAAAGTTGGGCGGCGAGAAGAGCGTACCTATATTATGGTTATTGTAACAAGGCGTTGTGCCCCGGAATGATAAGGACAAGATGACACAATCCCTGGCATCCTGTCTCCTCCGCCAACGGAGGGCTATTCGACGGTCAATTAGAGAAGGAAGACAAAAAAAAACAAAAAGAGTAATCGCAATGACTGAGACTGTGGAGGTGGTGACGAGGTGACGACACTGAAGCGACAGCCACTTTGTCGGCAATCGTAATATGTTGCGTGCCTGCTTGCCCGGTTTGAGTGCAGACAGGCAACGACCAAGTGACTGAGAAAGGGTATGAGAGGTGTGACGAGTAAGCCTCGTAGGGCTGTACGCAGGGCGAGCAAAGTGTCGAGGAATGGTTGGTCTGTGTCTAGGATCTGGAGTTCCGCCGTCCGGAGAGTTCTGGAGTTTCTAAAGTTGTGGGGTTGGAGATGAAGACCAAGGCCCATTGACCGGTTGACGTGGACTTGACGAAGGTGGGATGGATGCGGATGCGGATGCAGATGCAGATGCAATGCAGACGCAGACGTTGACATGGACGCCTGATACAGATGACCGGGGTGTGGAGAGGAAGGGAAAAGCAAAGCAAGTTTTCTGGACAAGAAGAATTATTCGTTTCTGTCCTGTTTCCTCCTCCTCCACGCAGAAGAGGATACTGTCTATTTGCTAGGTATGAATTGACTCCATGAGTCCATGGGTTTGGGAGGACTGCTCAAACTGCTCGGAACGGGCATGTGAAGACAAATAGAGGGAAGGGAGGGGTCAGGCTAGCGGGAAAATATGCAACGGACTTTACGAAAGAAGGAGACGTAAGCCAACAGGCAGATGGAGTCAATATTGATGTTTTAATCAGAACCTGATCGAATGCTGTTTTAAAGTTTACCAGTCTCTCCCCACGCTGCTTTACTGCAGCATCTCTGATGAATAAACGCTCCATTCTCCACGTCCCAGAAAGCAAACTTGGCTTCAATCCACTCAAGCCACATGTGCGTCTAGTGGAACGAATGGAGCCAAGGGGCTAACTACTGCCAGGCCACCACCAAAAGCTAGAAACACAACGTGAACCCAACCCGATCGATCCCATCGTCGCCTCGAGAAGTGTCCAAATCTCAAATTGCGACAAGGCTCCAGCACAGCCTCATTTTACCCTTGGAACTAGGACAAGCGAGCCATCATTGGAGCTGCCCAATCTAGTACTACTACTACTGCTGCTGCTGCTGCTGCTGTCGAAAGAGTCAATCTGGCCAACCAAAGCTGGGGTTCATCCAAGCCGATCTCCGAGGCCGAGGTCCCAACATTTAATAAAGGACCTAGCAACTAGGCTGACGGTCCGGTCAGCTACGTTTTATTGTCGGACGGCTTGACGCTCCATAATACCAGATTAAGAGAGAAGACTAAGAAGATGAAATAGGAAAGCACAAGTGCAATATACTGGGAGGGGCTTCAGCTGAGGGTCTAGATATTATGAACTGGTGGAGAACAGAAGATGGGGGATTTTTGTGACTGGTTTCGATGCGTGAACTTACTCACAACTCGCTTGCTGCGATGGCTCGGTCATGGTTTGATAGCTATTGCAGCCTTGCTGAACTTGCATTTCAAGTCAAGTAGTAGCACGGCACAGCACCTGCTGTAATTGGATATCGATTCACGGAATAGTATCTTATTGCTCGTACGTACATGGCGGTGGACATCTTGCTCATGGGTCGTGACTAGTACTAGTACTCATGTTTTAGCATCACCGCCACTCCGGTTCTCGGCCCAGGGACAGCACCGATGAGGAAAACACTGCAAACTGTTCTGTCCCGCCGGCTTCAGCCTGTGCACTTATTTAAGAGCATGCAAAATGCAACCGTCGAATTGCAATCCATTCTCAGTCTCCCAAGTCTATCGTACCAAGAAGACTCACAAGCCACCATGCCCCCCCACGGCCAGGCCTTCATCGCCGGGTACTGCCGCGGGATACTCCCCGGGGCTTTCATGAAGGCTTGGCTTTGAGATCGGGCACAGCAAGGGACACAGGGTCTGGTTTGTCAGCCGTCGCATTGACAGTCCCTAAACCCTTACGTGCTCCCAATGCAGCCTAGCGGGCCCTTTGTTCACGCTTGTGCCACGCCTCACCAGTGTCACCATTGCCATTGTCCACGCATGCATGTCGTGTCCCACAAGCAAGTCGCAATCGTAATCGCAATCGGTCCCCTCTGGCGTCGGCTGGCTGCGTCGGCTGGACCCTGCGAATGGGAACTCGACTCGTCGTCAATTGGTGGGAATCGTCATGAGTCACACCCCGTGAACGAGCGCGACACGCAACATCGAGTGCTAACGTTCAGAACTTAACGGTAGATACCCTCGAAGACGAATAGTTGCAACTACCCCGGCACGGTAGAGCTCTTTCCCAAAAGACGTGCTATCTTTGATGCCATTGAGGTTCGCCATTTGCAATCTGATCAAATACCTTGGAGGCTGTGCTACGGTCCTACCACACAGATATCGGAATGACTTCGCGCCGCACTCATCGCCGGGCATGTCGGCAGCGTCTGATGCTGACACCCCACAAGCAGAGACCTTATTGCCATGTGCCACATTGAAATCCACAGTGAGACTGGCTTTAAAAACAATAGACGTTAAATGAGAATGGATGACTTGGCATTGGGAACAGACTTTCAGAAAAGCTGGTCTGAACGCCATTGACCAGTATGCATGTTGGCCTGAGCTGCTTCGGACACTCATCATTCAGTTGTCGCTACCCTATGGGTGTAGCAGAGTTGCATGAACCAGCAACACCAAGGCACGAAGTATACCATCAGACAGACAAGGTGCTGAGTCTGTATTCTGCCTGGCATTGATGAAATGCTACCATGTGGCGGTGTCTATTTGGACGATGTGGCAAGTATATCTCGCAATAGTCTGTGCTTGCAACGAGGACTATGGAAACCGCAGACAGTGTTCTGTGCAAGTGTATAGTCTTTTGCGAGACCTGGCCATACCAAACTTGTAATTATTTGATTATTTCCATTCCAGTTGCTCTTGCTTTCCCGCACCACACGATATCTGCGTCACCATCGTTCATTGTGTCATATCTGCAACACCAAGAGCAACGGCCTCAGCATAAAGGTTGATATCGACTTGCACAGAAGCATCCTTGGTCAGTAGTAACCATTGCCGGCATCGGGAAATAGAGACTCTACGTCCCCGGTTCGGCCGCGGCGTCAAGGCCAATCAGTCATTTAATATCAGCATCAGCCGTGCCAGTCGACTAATGCGAACCCAGGGTCCAATCCCAAACGAAACGGCAACTACACAGCTGGTATATAGACTTTTTTTAATAGCACCAGAAATTGTATACTAACTAATTATCAATGAGTGCGGGCATTGACTCGTAATAAGGTACTTCGGCATCAGAAATGTCTGACGCTGCTTCTCACGAATGAGAAGTTATATCTTTTCCTTTCATTTCTCTCTGCAATCACAATTCTCCGCTCTCGGTCTCTTGCCTTGGTTTAAAGAAAAAAAAAGATCGCTCGTTCCTAAAAAGTAGAGGGAAATAGTCCCGGAATATATATACGTGAGGACGAAGAAAAAGATTCCGTTGGTTCCAAGCATGGACAGTTGATTGCATGACGTCGCTTCTTGTTCTGAGAATGGAATCTTCCACTTGATCTATGTAGATTTTTTGGGGTCGAAAGGTGTAGTCAGCATCACCTGTCGATACTGACGGTTATCTACTGGCTTCCGAAGATGCTATCGACGATTTCTCCAGATCTTGTGGCTAGGACCGACAAAAGCGTATCACTCAACTAGTCACTGTTAGCAGATCGTTTAAAAAAAAAGCTTACATCATCAACTTACCCCATGTGTACCCTCACAGCAGCCTTGCAGCCACACTCCCGCTTCATCAGCAACAGTTCCAGGGGCAAACTTGACTTTGTAGTCACGGCCAACTGCAATCTTGCGCTCGCCCTGTTCCGTCTCCACGTTCCATCCTGAGATACCTTTGCTAAACTGCAAGCCGCCAGGAGCGGCTTTGGGCAACATGTTCCACGCGTCCTTGAGCATACCAACATGGGCGTTGCGCTGATATCCTGTGGCGGCGATGACGAGGTCGGCCTCGATAACCTCCACATCAGCATCATCGATGAAACCGTCTAGTGCGCCGTCTTGAACACTTTGAACCTTGAGCTCAAGGGTTTCGCCATGGGGCTCTATGCTGATGATTTGCTTGCCGCCCATGATTCTGTGTGGCCAAGCCTTTTCGTCCGCGCCGAGCTCTCGGCGCTGGTCGTACATTCGTTCGTAGAGGGCTTCAATAAGTTCCAAGCGCACTACGCCATAATTGGTAGCACGAGCCTCAGCGAGGAAATTGTTACGGTACTTGGCAGACTTGGTGTAAAGGGAGCCAACGAATTCGGGGTTGAAGACGGTGTTGACACTGCAGACATGTTAGTCTTCAATGCTAAATTCTTCCGTCTGATTTCGTCTTCTCCATGCGATGAGAGGATCGCATCCCGGACACTTACAAGGGAGAATCGTCACTTGGACGTAAAAACTCAGGTCTCATTACGAGATAGGTCTTGGAGTTGGGAAATCGGCTCGCAACATTGTTGAAGATTTCGGCTGCACTCTGACCAGCGCCGACAACAACGACACGGCAAGATGTGGCAGTCTTGGGTATCAACTCGCCAATGACATTTGCATACTGTGAAGAATGAACAACACGGGGGTGCTTGAGAGGGAAGTTCTTGGGCATGGAAGGCTGGCCACCCGCGGCCACCAGCACGTGCCGGCCCCGGTATGTATGAGCTTGCCCAGTAGCTGTATCTCGGGACTGGACAGTGAACGAACGAACCGGGCCCTTGGAGTTGTCGTTGGGAGACACAGACACCACCTGCTGGCCAAACCGAGCCAGACGTGTGAAGAATGAAGAGCACCAGCGAAGGTAGTCCTCGTACTCTACACGCGCTGGCAGAAAAGTGCTCAGGTTGGTAAAGTCGACAAGACGGTCCTGGCGGTGCAGATAGTTCAGAAAGGTGAACTCGGACCGCGGGTCCCTGAGGGTAGCCAAGTCCTTGATAAAGGAAATCTGCATCTTTGCACCAGGAAGCAACATGCCCGAATGCCAGGCAAACTGGTTCTGTTTTTCAATAAACAGGACCTTGGGATAAGAGCCATCAGGCAACAGCTTCCTACCTGCAGCGATGGCATCGTGCATAGCTATCGCAACGGACAAGCTGGCGGGACCGAAGCCGACGCAAATAAGATCAAACTCGGAATCGAGGGCCGTAGGCACCAGGTACGGCGAGCTCTGAGCTGCTCCGTTGAGAAATTCGCGACCATTGCTGCCGAGTGGCTCTTGAACTGCCTGCCCATTCGAGTTTGCCTTGGCATGGTGCGTAGCCACGCCATTGCCATTGGTGCTGGCACGGTTCGATGAGGCGCCTGTGCCTTCGGCGTTTGGCTTGTTGGTAGGCAAAGTCGCGGTCGACGCGGAGGTGAGGGGTTGCGGGGCGTCAGAAGTGGTAGGAGCGTCAGGAGCAAGAGTGGGAGCAGGGGCTTCAGCAGCTCTGTTGCTGCCATTGCTGGTCGGCGTGAGGGCATTTCCATGAAGCGCCACGTCGGCTGCACCATTGCTGGTGAGCACAACTTCCTCGCTGTGTGGTGACATGGTGTCTGGCTAGGTAGTCTACCGTGTCGTTTTCTTCTTCTCTCTTTTTGGACACTTTTCGACTTTGGCTTTGTTTCGGCCAAACAAAATCTGTCTTCTGTTTTCTATCGGCTTAGTGAAATGAGCCTGCGGCGATTGTGTATTCCACTTACCACAAGTTCCAGTTGATGGACTGTGATTTGACTGCCGATCGAAACGTCGGCGGCAAGCTACGCCCCGAAACTGTTCAAGGGTCTGGCTCTTTTTTTCCCTCTTGATTGATGTAGTTGCTTTACCGCGTATTAATAGCTCCAGCAGGTGTGACTGACTTTGTTTGCAAGAAAGGACTGGTGTTCGACAACCCGAGGCTCAGACTGCTTGGCACGTCCTAGATCTTGTCTTATACCAAGTTCAGTTCAGGGTGGCTGGATTGGGGGCCACAGCCGAACAAGTAGAAAGGAGGTTCAAAGAGGAACAAGAGGAACAAGAGGCTCAAGCTGGAAGAAAAGGTGGTTGTGAAGAGGAAGGTACCACACCGGCCGAGGGACAGGGACATCTGGACTCTAATATGAAGGAAGGGTACCAATAAAGACTTCCGTTCGGCATTATGTGTAATAAGCCACGCTAAGCGACGGCATCTTGTTCGATGCAATGTAAAATTAACACAGGATGACCCGGCAAGGGTTTCCTCTCTGTTTCCTTACCCTTTCAAGCAACGCATGCTGGCTGGGGTCCGCTTCCCGCAGTCCAGTCGTACCGCATGACATGATATGCAAAACATGATGTGGCAGACAAGTATACGGAGCAAGTCGCACCAGAAACGTGCCACTAGCCCGAAGACCGGCAAAAATCGAAACAAAGAAGCGCGACGGCGGAGAATGCAAGGGACACGAGCCCACATGTTGTCCAATACAGGGCCAACCTCGCCGATGTCCTCACAAGTAGCTCAGAAAGCTAGATCCCCAAGTGGGCGGCAGATGGCCTTGTGGTGGTTGCGGAGCGGATCCCCTCCCAACAAACGGCCATGCGGCTGGGAACACCACTTTCACCTCAGCACAACCGGTCGTCGTGGCCTGGGAGGAGTGCCCAGGTAGCTACCAGGTTCGTAAGCACATATCATCACACGAGCCGTGCCACTCGTCTCTGTACCGAGTACGAAATTGTGGAATTTGATCCGACAGAATACTGCAAGTGCTGGGATGCAGGATCTTGCCACATGTTTAATCTACGATGCCGGGCCAGTTTCCAATGCACTGCCAAGCTTCCAAGGTTATACTACTACTAGTGCTCCTTGTAAGACGGCTTTACGGCTTCTGTCAACACCACCAAACTATGCTGAATACCTACCTAGCTACGTATCTTTGGGAATCAGGTCCGGCTTTGCACCAATCCCAAACTCATCTAGACTACTGCAGTAGTTGTTGGACAATGCGCTTGTAACCGACAATCTCAACTGCAACCTCGTTGTGAGACTGAACTCTCCCATCTCTCACTTATACAATGCCAAGTTTGACATGAGCCAATCGAAAATGAGCAACTGCCAGCTATGAGCTCGCGTCATTGTTCGCATGATTCGGCAAACCTAGCAGCTGGTTTTCAGGTCCCCAGCAATTTTTTCAGCCCTTGTTGGAGCCAAAACAGGGTCCAGTTCCACTTGAAGCCATCCATGGTCAAGAAGCTTGATGTTGGCGGCAGGGGTCTTGATCTGATAAGATGTAAGAATTGGCCACGAATCAAAGCAACGAATGCGTTGCATGGGAAGCCACACGGTGTGTGGCGCCGTTGGCCACAGTCGTCTGTGACAGGTTTTCCCCATCACTTTTTCTTGGGACATGAAACTGAATTGTCTCAAAGTCGAATCGAATGAACTCTAAATAGGTGCCCAATCCAGCGATGAGATGATTTTTAGACAAGATCTCCGCCGTCTGCGCTTGAAGAAGAAGGCGAGTCCTCCGAATTTACACAAGTGTCGTCATCACCATTTTTTCCCCATCACTCTTTTCTGGAAATGAGCAGGGCAGGGTAGAGTGCCCCTCGTGCATGTCTTTCGCTTGCAGCACAAATCATTGGCCAAAAAGCTTGGGTCAAACAGATTTCCGAAGTGAAGTGGAGTTGAGGGAATTATCTGATGATCAGATAAAAAAAACGGATCTGATAAGATCCAGGCTTGTGCTAGTTCATAGCCAAGCCGCCGGCGGCCTGGACACATAGTTGCTCGACTGTTCGACCGTCATATTTTAGCTGTCCACCTCAGGCGCAAGGTGCAGGACGAAAATTTTTTTCCTTTTTGCCCATTTTTCCTGAACCCCACGCCCAGGTTGTCGGAACTTTCACCCAGCATATCGCTTCCAACGGCCGTTGTGCATTTTAATGCCGTCCTAGCACCGGTTTTAGCCACAGGCAATGCGAAGCATGCACATTGCTTGCACCTTATGTACCCAAGTTGTGAAAAATCAAGATATGTCCAACAACTTAGGCGTTACGGGGACAATAGAAATCAGGCATAGCACGGCATTCATTGCTGTGTGTCGCGCAGTACAAATCTTGGTACAGAGTCAGTCGTGCCAAGTAAAGAATGCCGATTACAGGGAAGCGAAGACCCAACCTACCTCATGGTAATCGACTCCGCACTCTAGCACCTCAAGGAGGGGAGTGGTGGAGCTAATGGTATGGAAGCAGTTCGTCCAAGGATGTATCGTAGACTTTCACGCCTTGTTCATGTGTACATACTGGGGGTTTTTGGCCCCAATGGAGTCGTTCGTTTCTGCATGCCAAACTCAGCAACCACAACCGGGACCTGGACAGTTGAAGCCCCGTCGGATTTAGTTCGACAAAAGAGCGATTTCCTCCGAGTTCTTCCTAGGCCTATGCCTCATCTAAGGGTGCCGACAGGAGACCCCCTGTTCGATCTGGGAGGCTATTCTGGATATATTGTGTGATAGGACGAGTCTTGACGCCCAGAACTAGCACGTACCTGTGGGCTCACAACGCTACCGCGTGGCTTGCTTCAGTTGTCGGTTTGATGCGGCACGACAGGGCTATGCTCCGTGTCGAAGCCGGATTTGTCTTTGGCTGAGGCTATTGGTTGTTGTGACGAAGGCCGACCCTGTCTTTTCTGATCGAGCCAAGGTGTAGATGAACGAAAACAACAGAACGGTGCTAGGAAACCGCAGCGAAAGTTGGACAATATGTTTTCAGCAGTTCCTTACAAGATAGGGAGACAACAAGGAAACGGTACTGTAATTCGTGTTTAGTGTTGATACCGATTCTATAAGCGTTCGTTGGAAGAATATGTCTCATTAGTTAATTGTGGCACTTCTATCCCGTACTTCAAAGGTGACGTGTACCATGGGTCAACTTAGCTAACGAAGGCGATGGATCAAAGTGTTAGGCTAATGGAGGCTAACGGAGGCTACGGGGGCTCGTCCTTCACCGCCAGGCAGCGAAAAAGAATGATGGTGTGTGATCATGGTGGGCCTCATCTGAAGGCTGTCGAATTCTCGCATACAGATGAAAGGTCAGAGAATATTCGTTTCGAGGTAGTACTCAGCAGGTCCCAGGGTTCGTATCGGGTGGAAACTCCGTGGTCGGTTGGTCCGAGTTGACCGAGCTGTCTTCAGAATTTCCCAATTGAATTGTGGTCAGATCAAACTCATGTATTGGTAATAGCCGACCGGAAGGGTGATTGTTGGCTCACTGGTGCGGGCCGACCCATCTTAGCTGTTCGCCAAACACGTCTCGGCATGCCCTCCTCGGACACCGGGGATTTGATGGCATAGTGCTCCGTCCCTCTGAGGTTGGAGTTGAAAACCTCTGCGAACCACTTCAAGCTGGAAATATCTGCATTTTCACATATCCCATCGCACCCGTGCCTCGAGCTTGGCCAGACGGCGGGTTCAGCGCGGCAGCCGCCACTAGCAAGGGAAGGAGCCACCCAATCGCCTTTCTGCTCGTCATTCCGGAATCACCATTTCGGGAATGACTTCGTCTCCAAAGCTTCGATCCATTGTGCCCGTTCTGCTCATCACGCTGCCCATCAATCTACATATTTCCCCTGCAATATTGGCCCCTTCCCGCTTCCACCTACCTGCCACGGCGTCAGGTGGACCGGACCAAGGCAGGATCTCGCAGGCTAATGGTTTCCCTTGCAGACCAGTTGGAGCCTCGCTGATTAATTCCTCACTTCTTACAGGCCTGCTGGATATCCGCCGCAGATGCACGCGACTACCGGTGCAACCTTTTGGGCCATCTGTGACGAGCACATTGTCCGGCTTGCGAATAATCAAATTCCTCATTGGTTCCTTTGTCATGGTGACACGGTAGCGCCACCCGCTTTAGCTTGCTTCTGACGATACATCTGGGTACCTGTCACTCAGCTCATCAGGTCATCTTCATTTGCATCCACCTGAGGAGGAGAAACGAGACCGAGGAACATTCGTGGGGGGGCTGGAAGACGCAAATTTGGGTACTTCTGAATTGCTGCATCGTTCCGTTGTTCCGCTGCTTGACTCTTTGGTCTAAGACGTATGCTTTGCATGATACTCGCGAGTAGCCCTCTATTGGTAGCACACTGGTCTCCTATTCACCAGGGATAGAGGGCACATCATCGAACTGTGGCATCTCGAGCTATCAAAGCATCTTCGAGCTTCGTATTCTTCCTTTTCATAAATGCAACATTGTTAAGATGGACCGACATGAGTTATCAGTCTACAACCCAAACCCTCAACGTCTTGCTGGACCACAATTGCTGCATCATCTAGTCACTTCTCCCAATGAAGCAACAGCAATAGAATTCTTGTCTGGTAATGAACAAACATCAATATCTTACAAGGAATTGCATGATGCTTCCGACCGTCTTTGCCACTCTATGGAAGCTCTAATTGCAGAGTCCCGAGACATTGAGACGGATACAGTCATCCCTGTGCTAATACCTCAATCTCTTCATCTATACATCTCTCTTTTGGCGATACTCAAGGCCGGGGGTGCCTTTTGTCCCTTAAATGCTGACGCGCCTCCTGAGCGAGTCAAGTTTATCTTGAAAGATGTATCCGCCAAAGTTGTGCTTGTAACACGAGAGCTTGCCCACAGGATACCTGCAGAATGCAATGTCAAAGTCATTCAAGTGGACACGCAAAGCTTCGAATCCGAGCACGAACGAGAGCCGTCTTTCAAAGTAGACCCTGAACGATTAGCCTATGTCATGTACACATCAGGCTCTACTGGAACCCCAAAAGGAGTTGGCTTAACCCACAGCGCGGCAACCCAGGCTCTGCTAGCTCACGATCGACATATTCCTGAGTTCAGGCGATTTCTACAGTTTGCTGCACCTACTTTCGATGTGTCCGTCTTTGAGATATTCTTTCCTCTTTTCAGAGGCAGCACTCTCATCTCCATAACCAGGGAAGAGATGCTCGATGATCTTCCTGGAGTCATGCGCCGAATGGACGTTGATGCTTGTGAATTGACTCCAACAGTCGCAGGAAGCCTCTTGAAGAAGAGGGAAGCCGTACCGAAACTCAAGCTGCTACTGACTATCGGCGAAATGCTTAAAATGCCTGTTATACAAGAGTTTGGCGGCAGTAGCACCCACGAGAGCTTGTTATGGGCCATGTATGGGCCTACCGAAGCTACCATCCATTGGTATGATACTAATGCCATTCTTTAAATGAAGAGAATATTGACTAATTCCTGGTTCTGAAACAGTACTCTGCAAACCTCACTCCCATCTGAGTCGTCCCCGGGCAGCATTGGAGTGCCGCTTGACACTGTGTCCTGCTTCATAATCAAGCCTGCTGAATCAGCAGACGATGCTCAAGACTTTACTCTTCTTCCCCAAGGTGAAGCAGGAGAGCTTGCCGTAGGAGGCTTTCAGCTGGCCAGAGGCTACATCAATAGACCGGAGCAAACCTCGTCTGTCTTCATTGACTCTCCCTACGGAAGAGTTTATCGGACTGGAGACAGAGCAGTAATGAAGCCTGATGGCACTCTCGAATGCCTTGGTCGGTTGTCAGATGGTCAGGTAAAACTTCGTGGGCAGCGTATCGAGCTCGGGGAAATCGAGCATGCTGCGCTGAGAACTGCAGGATGTCATGGTGCTAGCGCTGCAGTGATCGACTCTCAATTGGTGCTCTTTTGCTCTGTGGAACAAGGAGTGGGTGAAGACGACATCCTGTTTAGCTGTAAATCGTGGCTACCTCGATATATGGTTCCAAGTGAACTTGTCATAATGACAGAATTTCCTCGACTACCTAGTGGTAAAGTTGATGCAAAAAAACTAAAACACAACTTTTCAGAGAAAAATACGACAAAGAATATGGCCGTGGATACTTTGAATGAGCCCACAGAGCAGGAGAAAGCAGCACTGAACATCATTTCGGAGACTTTGCATCGGTCCGTCAATATTGGCTCTACGTTAACGTCTGTCGGTCTGGATTCTCTATCAGCAATAAGATTGGTTTCTGCCTTTCGGCAGAAGGGTTATGAGATTTCAGTTACCAGCTTGCTGAAATGCCGCACAGTAGCTGATTTATGCACCAGCTTACAGAAAGCCCCTGAAACATCATCGCAACGTAACGAAACACATGCCCCATTACTCGACTCAAGATCAATATCTGAGCAGCACCCGTTACTAGCTGGTCTTAGCCAGTTGGTGGAAAATTGCATGGAATGCACGCCGTTGCAGCGGGCAATGCTGGCTCAAACAGAACACAATCCGGAGCTTTATTGCAATGAAATGCTCTTCGAAGCTTCGTTCAACGTAACACCACAGGCACTATTTAAGGCATTTGAAGCAGTTGTACAATCCAACCAGATTCTCAGAACGGGCTTTCTCCATCGGGAAGGACAATACGTGTCTGTATTGTTTTCGGAGCCACTCGACGGGCAAATTACAGTGCAAACAAAGTGTTGTGAGGGGTCCAACGTTCGATCTCCAGTCGACATCTTGCGACCATTTCTCGTTCAAATAATAGATAATGGGGAAGAGATGTCACCGAACATTCTCATCCGTGCACACCATGCAATCTACGATGGGTGGTCAATGGACATGATTATTGCAGATGTCTCGTGCATTGTCAAGGGAGGAGTCCCTGCATCTCGGCCACAATTCAAGCAGGTTCTTGATTTCCAAAGCCAAGTCACAATAGAAGATGAAGATGATTCCAGAGCATTTTGGACTAGTAATCTTCTCGGTTGGAACAAGATATCTTTCCCCAAACTTGTTGGCCAAGCACCGTCTGATCAGATCTTGTCAGAGGAGGCTTTTTTGAGAATATCTCCGGACATCGTTCAAAGCATGTCTCTGTCCCATGGAATAAGTAGCCAGGTGATATTTCAGGCAGCCCTGGCGATGACATGGCAAGGGGTGGTCGGAAATTCGGACATCTTACTCGGTTCGGTTGTTTCGGGAAGGACTATTCCCGTTCCTGGCATCGAGCGTATTATTGGTCCTTGCATTGCGGCAATGCCGCTGAGAATCGATACCAGTAATATGAACGCGAACATTGATGCTCTCAAGGCTATTCAGGCCCAAAATCGCGCAATTATGGAACACTGCAGTGTCCCGTTGGCTGAGATTTGCAAACTCGCACGTCTCGCACCCTCAGAGTCAATATATGATGTCTTATTCGTGTATCAGCAGTCCCTATATGAATGGGAATTGCAAAATAGTGTCATGAAACAAATCAGACACATAGATAGGCTCGATACAAAGCTTCTGGTGGAAGTTGAGCCTAGAAAAGACGGATATGCACTGCAAATGACGTATCATTCCTCGGTTCTCTCCGGAGATTTTGTACAACTCTTGGTTGAGCAGATGAAGGAGCATTGCGAGAAGATTCTTGCCCAACCCACCGGACCGCTCATGCTATCAAAACATCTCGAGGGGTTAGAAATGTCAATCTTCCGCGAAAAAACAAGAGTCGACAATGAGCCTGCGGACGTTGCAGCTCTATTCAATGCATCACTTATGCGAAATCCTCTTGCAGAAGCCATAAGATTTGTCGCACGTACGGCGGAAGGAGAATTGAAAGAGTCGACGCTATCCTATTCGCAATTGAGCACTGCTTCAAACCAAATAGCTCATTACATTCGCGGCTCCGGAGCCGAAGTGGGCGATGTTATTGCCATCATGATGAATAAGTCTACTACGTTATACACTTCGATTTTGGGTATAATTAATGCAGGGTGTGCTTACTTGCCTATCTTACCCACTACACCTATGGAACGGGTACGCGAAATACTTCGACAATCGCATACTAAATATTGTCTTGTTGAAGACGAGGTGGCTTGTTGTGCACATGAATTTCCCAACTCAACCACCGTCCTGAACATGAGCACCGCATCGTTTCGCACCATGCCTTCAAATCCACCATTCGTCCAGCCCGATCCGGATCGCCTTGCATACGTCATTTTCACCTCGGGAACGACGGGGGTACCCAAGGGTGTGGCAGTTTCGCAAAGAAACCTGGCTAGCAATATTACCTACCTGGATACTATCTATCCGAAATCAGCTCAGCCCCATCTCCTTCAAGCGTGCTCTCACGCCTTTGATGTATCCGTCTTCGAAATATTCTACGCATGGTATGCCGGCATGTGTTTATGTGCTGCGCCCAATGATGTCATCTTTGGAGATCTAGAATACTGGATCAGAGAGCTGCAAATTACACACCTCAGCTTGACCCCTACTGTTGCATCTCTAATAGATCCCAAAAATGTGCCCCAAGTCGAATTCCTTGTTACTGCTGGAGAGCCTATGACCACGTCAGTACTTGAAAAATGGGGAAGTTTACTATTTCAAGGATACGGCCCGTCAGAAACAACAAATATTTGCAGCGTCAAGAGAATGTCCAGAGGCGATAATATCGAACACCTCGGCTGGGTTTTCCCAAACACGTCCGTCGTTGTCATGGTACCAGACGGCCTAGATGCAGTACCCCGTGGCTGGGTTGGCGAGTTTTGCTTTGGCGGAAGCCAAGTCGCCAATGGCTATCTGAACGATACAACTCTGACAACTCAGAAGTTTATTGACCATCCATCATTTGGAAGACTGTATAGATCTGGAGACTTGGGTAGAATGCTCCCTGACGGATCGTTAGTCATCATGGGCCGACTCGATGACCAACTGAAGCTTCGTGGCCAACGAATTGAGGCGCAGGAAATTAATAGTATTTTGACAAGCACAGAATTGGTGACCACCGCAGTGACCATACTGGTGCAGAGCAAGTCTGGTCGGTCGAACCAGTTGGCTACATTCTATAAGCCATCCAGCGCTGTGTCATCTTCAAACCCGCTGGATGTAACGAAAAGCAGTAACCAAATGCTTTTTGCCACTCTCAAGACGAAATTACCGGCATATATGGTGCCTTCCTATCTTGTTCCAGTACCGTACGTCCCGATGACATCTAGTGGCAAGGTGGATAGACGACACTTGCTACATTGGTTCGAGGGCCTTTCAAGCGCGTATCTGGAGGACGCATCTCCAGCACTCAATCAACCCAATGTTGCTGAAAGTTGGTCTGATATTGAGTCAAGAATTGCAACAGCCATATCCGAGTCAATGCATGTCTCCCTGAACGAGATTGGACGATGGACCCCATTCCTAACTCTAGGAGTTGACTCGATTTCTGCGATTGGGTTGGCTAAGTCATTAAGAACGCATTTAGATTCCCAAGTTGCAATATCTGCAATTTTACAGAACCCTTCTGTTGCTCAACTTGGCCACTTTCTAGCCAGGGATGATGGCAAAGGCCTTGCTGAATTATCCAGCAAGATGAAAACGTCGTTCGAAACATTTGAGAGAGAAGTTGGTGGCTCTTTATCCGACAGGATACAGGATTTAGAGGCTATTTTGCCTTGTATGCCGCTTCAAGAAGCCATGTTGATACAAGGCCAGGAAAGTTACTACAACAGAATACTCCTCAGGCTACACGTGTCGCCTGAAGAGATGAAGACGTATTGGAGACAACTGTCCAACAGACACAGCATATTAAGGACATGTTTTGTTACGACAACTAATTCAAGGTATCCTATTGCTCAAGTAGTTTTGCGCAACTGGGATCTTCCGTGGAGAGAATTCGAAGTTACTGTGCCATCACTTGAAGGAGCAAGCCGGGAGCATCTTAATTCGCTTCCTGATCCTCTGGATTCTTTGGTACCTCCATGCTCCCTAGGTCTCATTCGATATAAAGGGTCTAATTTTCTGTCTTTCATATGTCATCATGCTTTGTATGATGGCATAGCCATGGAGAACCTGTGGAGAGAGGTTGAAGCATTGGCTCAAGGATGTCAGCTGCCAGACGCTGTATCATATCTGCCGTTTCTCCAACAGGCCCTTTCTTTGCCAGTAGGAGTGGAGTCTTTCTGGCAAGAGCAATTCCGAGGGTTTCAATCATCAACCGCCTTTGCAAGGTCAGCACGATCAGGCATCAATCAAAGTACAAACTCTGTGTCCATTGATATGAGTTTCAAAGATATCCAGCAAAGAGTTAGATCTTCAGGAGTGTCGCTACTATCACTTTGCCAGGCATCCTGGGCAGCAGTTCTGGCGTGTGTTTTCGATGACCCAGATGTTGCTTTCGGAAATGTTGTTAGCGGTCGTACGATAGGCGTTGATGGAGTTCATAAGTTGGTTGCACCTTGTTTTAATACGGTTCCCGTTCGTTTGGACACGTCACGAAGTGCGCAGAACATTGACTTGGTCAAAGCCTTTCAGGAGCTGAATTCAAAGCTGCTGCCTTATCAATTCTCACCCTTAAAGCTTGTACAGAAAGTTGTTGGAGGTCGACGTCGACATCTATTTGATACCTTGTTCCTTTTGCAACAACCTCTGAAAGAAATGGACAAGAATGTATGGACCCTCCAGGAAGATGTTGGCAACATGGATGTCCCCATTGTGTGCGAAGTTATACCATGCCCAAACTTGAACTCTATTGTTGTCAACTTGCATTACGACATGGATATGATCACACCCGACCTCGCGTCGGTGGTCACGGATATGTTCAAGTTTATTATACGATCAGTGGTATCATTACCTTTTGGACCGGTCCCAAGTCGATCGACCATCCCGAGCCACTTCTCGCAGGGCCTATTAGGTCTTGTGTTAAAGAGAGAAAGGTCCGATGAGGATTCGATCGAGACGACTAGTAGCCAATGGTCTAGTCTTGAAATGAAGATACGAAAGGTTATTTCCAACATTTCAGGCGTATCGGAAGCCGCCATTCGCCGAGAAACAACCATCTTTCAGGTTGGACTGGACAGTATTAATGCAGTTCAAGTTGCATCGGCACTACGATCTCAAAACCTACCTGTGTCATCATCTGATGTCATAGAGTGTTCTAGCTGCAGCAAACTGGCATCTAGAATAAGCCAAAACTCAGAAGAGCTAAAACAGGAGAACGTTTGGATAGACTTCTCTGCGTTCCAGAACCAAGTAAAGCCATATGCTCTGGAAAAACTGCGGCCTACCACGGAAATTGAAGCCATTCTTCCGTGTACTGCAGTGCAAAATGCTATGCTAATGGCGTTTATGCACTCAGACGAGGCAAACTACCTCAATTCGCTCTCCTTCAAGATCAAGGAAACTGTAGATCTCAATTCTCTATTTGTCGCATGGCAACTACTTCATGGTCAACACCCGATGTTACGCACTGGGTTTGTCCCCGTTTCACACACAGGCAGCACGTTCGCAATGGTCAGACAAAAATCCACTAGCCTAACGCACCCGATTACATTGTTTGACAGACTGCCATTTGTCTTGGAGGATTGGAAAGCGGAGTGTAGATCATTCATGCTTGCAAACTTACATGAACCAGCCTGGAGAGTGGCCTTGGTGAACACCGGCTCACAGATGCTTATGCATATTGTTATACACCACGCACTCTATGATGCGCAATCTCTAGATGGCTTATTCCAAGGTCTGTCTTGCTTCCTTCTAGGGGAATCGTGCACTTTCTCCAACATTGAGCCCGCTCTAGCGGACGTATTGTCGAGAGCAAAATCCGAACTATCAGAAGGAAAGAAATTCTGGGAAGAACAGGCGGTGCGGGTAGTGGTGAACAAATTTCCCATCATGACCTCACTTCGAGAGCCAGTGGGAAGACTCACTGTTAACGAACACATTTCGTCCATGTCCGTTGGAGAGCTACAAGAGGCGACCCAAGCAGTAGGTGTATCGTTACAGGCTGCGTTGCAAGCCAGTTGGTCGCGAATATTGGCGTCTTACCTAGGAGAACAGTCTGTTACCTTTGGCGTTGTACTGGCCGGGAGAACTTCAGACGAAACTGCCGACTCCCCATTCCCTTGCCTTGTCACGCTGCCCATCGTGGCAGAAGCAGAAGACTCTAATATGGGGTTGCTGCAGAATATGATGGCGTACAATTCCAACCTATATAAGCATCAGTTTAACCCTTTAGCGGAGGTTAAGAAATGGCTAGGTCATCCCGCCTCACCTATATTCGACACCGTCTTGGTATATCAGAAGACAAGCGGCCCACACTTAAACACAGATCAATGGAAGTTGATGGAGGACCTCCCATCTGTGGAGTATTCAGTTTCACTAGAAGTTGAGCCGCTTGAAGATGAGCAACTTCATCTTCGACTTACGACCAGGTCCGACATCGTACCACATGAGCAAGCGGACTTGATGCTTAAGCAGTTCGACGCTATGTTGACTCACTTATTGAAGCACCCAAATGCGACGCAGAATGAGATTTACAAATACCATCAAAGTTTGTTTTCCATTACTCCTCCCAGAATACCTGTAATTGATGCACCGGTTGAGTTTGTACATCAATTCGTCGAGAGAAATGCTGAGTTACAACCCAACTTCCCAGCTCTGGAGTTTGTTTCAGATTTCAATGGCACGCCTTCTTCAAAAATGACATGGACTTACAAAGAATTGGATGATCTCGGAAATCAAGTTGCTCATTTGTTGTCCAAGGTTGTTCGTGTGGGAAACATTGTGGCTGTTCACTTCCCCAAGTGTCCCGAAGCGTACTTCTCGATATTGGGCATTCTTAAGGCCGGCTGCTCGTTTGTGGCTCTAGACCCTGACGCCCCCAAAGCACGAAAGGAGTTTATTCTTGAAGACTCCAAAGCTGCATGTTTGTTGATAACGAACAACTCTGATCTACTCTTTTCTGTCAAGATACCCGCCATCACTATTAATGAGGAGAGCCTCCGATCACATCCATCCGACCCAATTATGCATGGCGAGGCGTTCACACCACAAAACACTTGCTATTGTCTGTATACCTCAGGTACTACTGGAACTCCTAAAGGATGCGAAATTACACATGAAAACACCGTTCAAGCCATGATGGCATTCCAGCATCTTTTTCAAGGCCACTGGCAGAAGGATTCCAGGTGGCTGCAATTTGCAGCATTGCACTTTGATGTTTCTGTGCTTGAGCAATATTGGAGCTGGTCTGTTGGAATTACGGTTGTTGCCGCGCCAAAAGACTTCATACTGGATGATCTCACAGGGTCTATTAGCAAGATGGAAATTACACACATAGATCTGACACCCAGCCTGGCGCGGCTCATCCACCCGGACCAGCTTCCAAATCTATGTAAGGGTGTTTTTATCACTGGAGGAGAGCAGCTGAATCAAGAAATACTGGACTCCTGGGGGCCCAAGGCAGTGATTTACAATGCCTACGGGCCGACCGAAGCAACTATAGGTGTCACAATGTATCAACAAGTCCCAATTAATGGCAGGCCAAGTAATATCGGACGACAATTCCCAAATGTCGGGTCATACGTCTTTCAACAGGGCACTGATATTCCGGTACTGAGAGGGGGCGTAGGGGAGTTATGCGTGTCGGGAAAACTGGTCGGCAAAGGTTATCTTCATCGGCCAGAGTTGACGAACGAGAGATTCCCCAAACTTTCAGAATTTAATGAGCGGATCTATCGGACGGGAGATCTCGTGAGGATTCTTCATGACGGATGTTTTGACTTCCTTGGCAGGGCCGATGACCAAGTCAAGCTGCGGGGGCAGCGTCTGGAAATTGGTGAGATAAATCACGTCATACGAAACAATACCTTGGGGGTCAAGGATGCTGCTACCCTAGTCATGAGGCATGGAAGTAAAGATGTCTTGGTTGCATTTCTGGTTGGAGAGGGCGAAAAGGCGTCCGATCTCTGCATGGTGTCTGATGAAGATGCATTGGGCGCCAAAGCGCGAGCGTCGTGCCTCGACAGTTTACCTGGATACATGGTTCCTACGTATTTTATTCGACTATCGCGTATTCCGCTTTCACCAAACAATAAGGTTGAGGCCAAGGAGCTGAAAATGCTGTTCCACAGCCTCCTCCCGGACGAGCTCGTGAAGCTCACAGGGCGAGACACAACATCTTCAAGCAGCGAGATAGATGCAGCTGTTATGAAACGTCTTATTGAAGCGTTGGCGTGTTTTACTTACCTGCCTACATCCGCAATACACGAGACAACAAGTATATTTGATATCGGGGTTGACTCAATTTCTGCCCTGCAACTGTCTACCGCACTGAAGCGCGGCGGGTTCCCCAAAAGCACGCCTGCCATGATACTGCGCAGTCCTATTGTGTCAGATCTGGCCCGGTTACTTTCCAGAAAGCTTACGTCGACGAAAGAACGTGACGAAACAAAGGAAATCGAGCAAGTATTACGAGCGTACCAACAGCGATATCGTGCTCTTGTCTGCCGCGAGCTGCGGGTGAAGTCTGCCGACATCGAATACATCGCACCTTGTTCACCCCTCCAAGAAGGAATGATATCGGCTGCTGTTGCAGAAGAAGGTTCCCATATGTACTTCAACTCGTTCGACTTTCACGTCAAAGATGATGTACCAATGGACATGGTGCGTCATGCTTGGGAGACGACCATCCGCGACCATTCAATATTGCGATCAGTCTTCGTAAAGACAATAGATGGGTATCTTCAAGTCGCTTTGCATGGAATTGATAATTTCTGGCGGGATTTGGTTGCCAGTGATGACGGAGATGTTGACAATATCCTTGAGCAGGCAAGGTTGAGCTGGACCAGAGACAACACCCTTCATATTCTATCGCCATTGCAATTGATCCAGGTGAAAGGACCTGGGAAACGAGCTCTCCGACTCTATATCTTCCATGGGCTTTACGATGGAAACAGTTTCAATCTTATGAACGAGTATGCTTCGTGCGTCCATCTAGCAAAGAAACCGCCAACTCGACCTAGCTTTGTTGATGTCTTAACACACGGTCCCTTACGCAATTTTGACTTCTGCAGGCCATTTTGGGCCAAACATTTAGAACATTGGCAGCGCTGTGAAATGCCCAAGATTTCGCCGCTCGCCTCCAACAATGCAGAGATCGTATCATTGTCTAGACGCCTTACAATCAAACGGTTAGATGAGCTTCGTCGCCAGCAAAGCGTTACTCTTCAAACAATTGTTTTATCCATCTGGACAATTGTGCTCCAGAGGCACGTCTCCAAACCATTTACAACCGGCATAATCGTTGCTGGCAGATCGTTGGACGTACCGAATGTTGAGAATACTATGGGCCCCTTATTCAACACTGTCCCCTTTTTTAACTTGACTTTGAATGGTCTCTCTTGGGAGGCGCTGGTTCAAAAATGCCACAAGTTCAACACTGATATCCTTTCTTTTCAACATGTACCACTTCGTGATATCCAGAAGTGGTGCTCAGATGGTCAATCGCTGTTCAATAATCTCTTTGCTTTCCAACTGGAGAAGCCAGACCCGAATCCTGACGCTATACCATGGACCATAATTGACAATAAGGCCACCAGCCTTGACTATCCGCTAGCATTCGAGGCCACTCGGACAAAGGATGGCCATCTTAGCCTCTATCTGGTTGCTCACCCAGATATTGCTGAGGAAGATACATTGGAGCAAATGCTTGATCACTTTGAACAAGTTGTGTTGACAGTTGAACCTGGTACAGTGATTGCTCTGCCACCACACAGCAACTTCAGCTTTCCCAAAAATATCAAGCCAGAACCATTCAGCCCCAAGACTTTCGTACCAGAGAGGCTTCACTGGACTCCGGTTGGCTTAGCACTTAGGGATGAGTTCTGTACGTTCGCCAATATTCCTGCAGAAGACGCTTCTCCTGGCACCTCAATACTGGACCTCGGAATAGACAGTATTGATGCTATCAAAATTTCCGCTAGGCTTGCAAAGAGACACATAAAACTGTCCGCATCTCAAATAATGCGCCACCAGACGATTTCGGCGATTGCTGCTACTGCTTCAAATCTGAATCACGACGCTCTACTAAAAAGCTCCATCGACACAGGCAAGGCTGAGATTCAGTCTCGTCTGCATTCGTACATTCAGGGCCAAGGAGTTGATCCCAACAATGTAGAATTGGTTCTCCCATCTACTGCGCTTCAGGAGTCCATGATTTCAGCTATGGTACAATCAGATTTCCAATTGTATTTCAATCACGACATCCTGGAACTGGATAAAACAGTTAGCCTGAGCAAGTTGAGAGATGCCTGGTTGGAAGTAATCAAATCATCGCCAATACTCCGCACGGCCTTTTTCGAGATCGATGACAATAATCCGGATATGGTCTACTGCCAAGTCGTGTATAAGCAGGCTACCGCACCTGTTGCTATGCATAAACTTGCTGGTGCTTCAAGCTTACAAGACTTGATGAAGACGGCAACAGAGACCGCCATCCGAGGAGAGGCACGGAATAACCTTTTTCAAGTGTCTCTTGTTTCCACTGACAGCCAGAACTATATGGTTCTCTCCGTAGCGCATGCCCTCTACGATGGCTGGTCATTGGCGCTCTTGTACAATGATCTAGCAAAGGCATATCGGTCCGAGTTAGAGCCGCGAAGATACTCGGAGGTTCTCATGTCTCAACCTATTATATATGAATATTCCGACGTAAATGGCTTCTGGGGAACATATCTCGCTGACGCTAGCCCGACTGTATTCAGATCGGGTCGCCCTTCAGCTCCGCTAAATCCCAGCAATATTATCAGGAACGAGCATTTGTCATCAAAGTCCCTAACTGAAATCAATATCTTTTGCAAGAAGACCTCGATTAGCCTGCAGTCATTGTGTATGGCATGTTGGACAGCAGTCGCTGCGCATTTTACGCGGTCGCTGGACACAGTCTTTGGAATCGTTCTCTCGGGGCGAGATTTCGAAGGTGCTGATGAGCTAGTATTCCCATGCATGAACACTGTCGCCGTCCGTTCAGTCATACATGCGAATGTGTCTAGTTTTCTCAGATATATGGAGGCCAATCTTGCGGATATACGCGATCACCAAGGATTCCCACTTCGGAAGGCACAGGCAGCCGCAAAGCTCGGCGGCAAAGAGCTCTTCAACTCATTGTTCATTTTACAAAAGACGCCGAATATAGAGGCTTCGGGTTCAATGTGGAGGTCTATCGGCGGCGCATCTGCAGTAGAGTACCCGGTTTGTGTCGAAGCAGAGCCGATCCAAGACCGACTTTGTTGGCGCATTGCGTGCAAATCAGATGTATTGTCACAGCTCGATTCAGAAGACGTGCTGGTCAAGTTGGATCAGATTTTGAACTTCTTCTTAGACTTTCCTGAGTCCGAAATTCTGTCATTTACAGATGGCCTCGTTTCTATCTGTGCATTGCCTCAGATAGCAATAGAGGAGCAGCCAGCCAACAGTCATACGACTGCCACAGCCGACGATGATATGGATGATGCATACTCGTGGAATCACACTGCCCTCCTCATCCGCCAGATCCTTTCAGATGTTTCATCTTTGCCGATCGAGTCCATTTTGCCCACGTCCACGCTCTATCACCTTGGACTGGATTCCATTAGCGCTATCAAAGTCTCCATGATGCTGAGAAAGGTCCAAATTGACCTCAAGCCACGGGAGCTCATTGGAGCCGATAGCATCAAAGAAATTGTTCGGCTCGCAGAGCTAGATCACAAACCTCAAAAGGAAGAATCTTTTAATGCTGCCCAATTGAAGCTTCCTGCTTCTGTATCCCAAGAAAGCCTGCTCAACCTACACAATATCCTCCAACAGGATGTCGAAGCCGCTCTACCTGCCACTCCTTTGCAAATTTATATGCTGAGCGCATGGCAAAATTCCAACGCCTCAGTATTCTTCCCCGAGTTCTGTTACGAGATTATTGGAGACTATACCTATGAGCAACTTGTGGAAGCATGGGATCAGGTTTGGAGACACATCCCAATTCTACGTGTTCGTTTCATGTCCACCGGAGATATAGAAATGCCCTGGATTCAAGTTATTTTGAAGCCTAGTTCAAATTCCTCAGGTCACATGTCTGAGCCCTTGTGGCGTTTTTCCGTCTTGAAAGTCGAAGACGGAGGTTCTTGGCTGCTGAGACTGAGCATCCACCACTCTCTATACGATGGCTTCAGCTTGCCCAAACTCGTGCAGCTTTACTACGAAGCGATACAGAACACGGCAGAGAGCGCCATTACTCCCAACGTAGATCTCATAAGCTGGCAGAATTACACGATCAGGCCAACACTGAAAGCAAGCATTGATTCCAGAAATAGATTCTGGTCGGAATACTTGGTCGGGTGTTCGACATCTCCTGGCTCCCCGATACCATATGCAAGCGAGCGTGTGTCATATATACGACGTCACGCCTTCCTCAAAACTAAGGAATTACAGCAAGTTGCATCGTCACACGGCATAAGTCTACAGTCTCTCTTTTTGGCCGCCTATGCCAAGACCCTATGTGTCAACGTCGGAGCCCAAGATAATACACAATCGGTCATCTTCGGTATTTACCTAGCCAATAGAGACACGGAGACTGACAACTTGGATGAGACATATCCAACAATGAATATTGTCCCCCTTCGCGTCCAAATCGCCCCAGGAGACAATTTGATCAAGGTCGCTGCAGCCATCCTGAAAGACTTGCAGCTTATTCAATCCAATGGCAGGGCAACTGTCGGGCTTTGGGAAATCTATGAATGGACGGGCATACAGATTCAGAATTTTGTCAACTTTCTTTCGCTCTTGGATGATGACGCCAACTCAGGAAAACCTGGGCTCGTACGAAGGAGGACAGAGGATAAGTTATCTACAAAGGGCTTAGATCTCCTGAAACAGCCTTGGCTGCAGAACAATGCTGTGAGGAAAGCCTATCCGGTACGTACTTTATTATTATTTTTTAAAAAAAATCCGAACACTTGCGCCTAGTCAACTAACGTCACTCTGAAGGCGTCCCTCGATATTGAAGCATCAGTACACGAAGATAGTTTGGACATTGGCGTATTTGGATCTACGGATAGTTTATCTCATGATGATAGTTCACGAATCGTGGATAACATAATTCAGCATCTTGCAAGCGTGAAATTAGCATAGGGGGGATTTGCATTTGAGAAAGTATATGAGGGACTTTAAAGAAAGTAAAATCTTCGACATCTATTGTTTATATTGCTTGCCTCAAAATGTTATTTACATCAGTCGTTATATAAATACAAAGTCGTTGAAAATAAACAAGAGGATAGGTAGCTCAATCTGGGAAGAGGATGAGATTGGCAATTCTGACTACTTCATTCGCTGTAGGTGTTTCGATATTTGAATCCTCTATTTGCTCAGATGGTACAAAGACATCTTCATCGTCTGGTTCCCAGGGCTGGAGTCCCATGGCTCGTAGTGCCGGTGCACCGCCTAATTCTGCAATTTCCTTCTCACTCGGCATAACATTGATGTCTTCAGCCACAGTGCCTCGCCCAGAAGAGTCGAAGTCAGGGCCTGGTTGTCCACGCCGGAATGCTTTTCGTTGGCGTGCAAGATACAAAGCATTCGTTTGGGTGAGAGGGGCTGCAGGGATATATACCAACATACTAATGTCATCTGCCCCAGGAGTGCTAGGAGTGTGGAGTCCGTGGCAACTATCACTAGATATATGATACGGAAGGTCAGGGTGCCAGAGTATGTAGTCGCCTGGCTGTAAAGTTGGTAGAGTGACTAAGACTCTTCGTAGATGAAGGTGTGGGTGCCACCGCTCGGTAAGCCGCTGCGCATGGCCGGGTACAGCACCGTGGATAGTTGTGTCCGGATCATGTTGAAGTTCCCAGTTGCTAGCATCAAGATAAGCGTCCCATTCTGCTCCGGATGGTCTATCTGGCGCCGGATTCTTTGGGCCGAAGAAGGGTCTGAGGAGGTAATAAGCGGTTGCAAGTTTGGGTGATGGCAAAAGCCTCAGCATGCCCGGCTCGATTGTAGAGAGCGCTAGGAGGCCTTGGAACATCCTGAATATGGTGCAAGCACCATAACCGTTATATAAATCCATGGTTGAGGATGCGCGTCCTGTACATTCCCAAGGATCATACTCCTCCCACTTGCCATGAAACACTTGATGATATGTTTGGCTGCGACCGTAGCCGTCTGGTTCCCATCTTTCTAGTGATCCATTATCAACTTGAGAAATTATTCCTGCAGCTGATTGCAGGGCTGTTATCCAATCATCTGCGGCCTGTGAGGCGAGAAGCCGTGACTGTAGTTGCTGTTGCGGCTCTCGGGGGGGTGATTGCGAACGTGGCCAAGCGAAATTTGATTCTGGGTTGAATGAAGTTGTATCAGACATCTTTAGGGATCCAATGTCGCTAGTATCAGCACCAAAGCCACCACCATGCACTCGCAGTCGATCAACGTAGGTAATGGGGAACCGGGTTTCCACGCGTCCATCCGGCTGTGCTTCCCACAGGCCCATCATGAACTTTTGCACACGAAGAACGTTTGGGTGAGCCCGGCATCGTACCTGTGCCGGTGTCCAGAAGCAGTCAAAGCATGTTGGATCCTGCTTAGGCGCCTGGAAATGAGGCAGAAGCGGTGGCTTTGGTTCTTGGTTGCCATTGACAGATTCTGGTTCGGGCTGCCCAGTGCCATATCTCTTCCTTCTGCCATCTAAATACCGGACAGTGTCCCGAACCGCGGAATCAACCTCCGGGCGAGGAATAACTTTGCGAACAACGCCGACACCGTAGCGGCGCAGGTCGCGACCAAAACGAGATGTTTGCGCGGGGTCCTTCAAGTCAGCAAACTCAACCGACGGGATGAGGTGGGCGCCCAGGCACTCAATATGCTCTACCTCCACACGCAGCGCAAGGATAAGTCGAGCCCACGATGCTTCAAGTTCCGCTTCACGGCCCGCAATCAAGCTCTTCTTAATCTTGGAAAATCTCTGTGACAACGGAATGGGATCAGGCCCCCAAAGCGATGGCAGTGGGTACTCCATGCTTTCCAGAAACGTGGTCGATGAAGACGAGGCCAAGATAGACGCCTGACGTTGGCGGGGACACGCTGCGAAGAACGGTCTACCCTAACAGTGGTTGGAGAGTAGATTCCATTCGCGATACAAGGCTGGTTTTAGGATCTGGTATGAGATCCGTCAAAGGGTCGGGCATCAAGGTCAGCCTCGCTGTGGATGGGAGGATGGCGTCAATTGGAAGTCGCAGTGACAGTCATTGTTGAGGTTCAGACTGCACATGTGCGTTGCTGACTGGACCTCAAGTTGGAATCAGCCACGCTGGAGCATCGTTCCTGCCTCCACGAATTGTCATGGGCCCCAATTGGTCTGCCTCCGGCGAACAACCCCCTCAGCTTGCGATGGAGGTCATTCAAGCCAGTAATCCAATTCTGATCTATTGGAGTTTTCTACCTTGCCTCCTGCGGCGACATCATCTTTCTTTGCCCGACTTGCCATGGTCGTCACGGTTGTTAGCTGACCCCCCGCTGCCCCTCGGGCCCTTGATTCTGCCAATTTTGACCCAGCCTTTGTCACAATATCCCGAATTACCGGGCCAGCTTGCCACCCAATTGGAGCGTCTTTAAAGCATGGAAAGTTGGTGCTTCATGAATTCCTCTCTGATGCAGCCCGTTTGGGCATGTAACTTTCGTGATCGGCTTACCGGAGTACTGGTCTATTATTGCTGACCAGAACAGGTCTACAGTGGCTTTCTCCCATATCATTGGAATCATACACCTGAATGAGGCACAACCGCTGCATAAGCAAATTAACTGCAAGACAATAGATTGTTATCCGCTCAGCAATCAACGATCGCAATCCTCAATAAGGGAAAAAGAAAATTTGCTTCATTCATATTCCTCCATGCATTCCTGTTATATATACAAGTCATTTTGGACTTCAGATATTATCCTACAACGCCCAGTGGTCTCAACACTGAAAAAGCAAGCCACATATTGCGCAATCGATACCGACGGGCAATTCCCTTGTCGTAGCACATTGAACACATCATGAAACGCTTGCAGAGCTTGCGCTTCTCACAGTCACACCTTCACTGCCACTTCACACTCGAATTCAAGGGCTTACAACCTAGCCGGCTTGTTGCCGGGCTTCCATCCTCCCTCGGAAGCAATCAACTCGGCAGCACGCTCACCAATGGAGAGGACAGTGATCATGGGGTTGATCGTTGGCATCTCAGGGAAGATACCAGCGTCAGCAATACGCAGGTTCTTGATCCCACGGACCTTGAGCTCGGGGTCAACTACAGCAAGATCATCCTTGGTAATATCGCCCATCTTTGTGGTACCTGCGGGATGGTAGACAGTGTGGGCAACACGGCGAGCGTATTCGCTAATCTCCTCATCAGTTTGGACCTTGGGGCCGGGGGCCACCTCCTCCTTGAGCCACTCCTTGAACGGGCTCTGCTGCGCAATCTTTCTGGCGGCCTTAATACCCGCAACCAGTGTCGCGGCATCATAGCCTTCAGGGTCGGTAAAGTAGCGGAAGTCGAGAGCAGGCTTGACAGCGGGATCGGCTGAGGTGAGGAAGACGCGGCCACGAGAGCGGGCACGGGGAATGTTGGGTGTCATGCAGAAAGCATAACCGTCTTTGATGATAGGATAACCCAAGCGCTCTGTGTTCAGGCAGAATGGGATCTGGTAGCAGTGCATCATGATGTCAGCGGCATCGCCGTCGTTGCCGGCGGCATTGGTGGCCTCGCGGCGGAGGAAGACACCGGCATCGGAGTCCATGGTGGTCTGGTTTGGCGGCACAGGCTTCTTGAGTTCCCACATGATGATGGTTTCGGGATGGTCAATCAAGTTCTCACCAACACCGGGAATGTCCTTGACAACATCGAGACCCAAACTCTCCAGCTGGGCACGAGGTCCCAAGCCGGAATGAAGCATGAGGCGTGGAGTATCAACGGCACCGGCTGAAAGGATGATTTCCTTGCGGGGCTTAAGGAGGAGCTTCTGGCCATTCGAAATAATGGACACACCGGTAGCAGTGTCATTCTCGACGACAATCCTATTGACCCATGCCTTGGTCAGAACAGTCAAGTTGGGACGGCGCTCCTCGCCCCGCAGGATAGGGTGGATATAGGCAACCGAGGCGCTGCTGCGATAGCCGTTGTCCGGGTTGTAGGAGATGGAGAAGAAGCCGGCACCCTGAGTGAGCTGGCCCTTGGTGCGAATCTCTTCGTTGAAGTCGGGTATGATGGGGATGTCGTAAGCGTCGGAGCAGGCCTTGACCCAGTCCTTGCAGAGCTGGTTGCGGTGGCGAGCGTGGACAGGCTGGAAGGTATTGCGCAAGTTGTCGGCATGGCGCATCATGTTTTCAAAGGTCCAGCCTTTGCAACCCTGTTCAACCCAGCGGTCCATATCATGGCGGAAGGGTCGGAAAGAGATCAAGGTGTTGTGGGAGGAGCAGCCGCCGAGGACCTTGGCGCGAGAATGACGGATGTGGGAGTTGCCCATGGGCTGCTCAACAGTGCCGTAGTCATAGTCGAGATCGCCACCGAGCAAGGAAAGCCACTGGCGAAGATCAAGAACATTGTTGAGGTTGAAATCAGAAGGGCCGGCCTCAATCAGAAGCACCTTGCGCTCGGGAAGGTAGCTGGAGAGACGAGAGGCGATGACACAGCCAGCAGTGCCACCACCAACAATGATGTAGTCGTAGGAGGATTCGGACCCCTGGGGAAGGAACTGGGTCGTCATTTTGGCTTGACTGAATTAATTATGACCGTTCCAGCTAACAGGAAGCTCAATTGAAGCTCCAGAAGGGTCAAGTCAAGCTTGGGATAGACGATGAGGTTGGAACGACGAGTGTAAGTCGCAACGTCCCGCACCTGTGAACCTGCTTTAATGATTGGGCTTAGCAGTCTCACGAGTTGACTCTTTGGAGTGAGGAGGACGGGAGATGAACAAGGCAGGTTTAAGTGGAAGTAAAGAGCACAAGAGTAGGATGAGAGCGGGCGAGGCAGATTTAAGTCAAGTTGCAAGCCACCGTTCGCACAGCTCGGCATCACACGACGGGGAGGGGACCCTGGGGTTCTTAGCTTCTTCTGGCACAATTTTTTTTTCTCTTGTTGGTTTCTAGTTGTTGGTCCATGAGGTACAGTGGACCTCTGAGCCGGCGGCCAGCATTCACGAAGGCCAGCTAGAACCGACTCAAGCAGAATAGACAGTACCGGGGCAGAAAAGCATCTTCACCGGCGGTTGGACCAGTGAGAAGGCAAATTATCCCAGGAAAATTCTGGGGCTATGAAGGAGGGTGGATGATGACCAGGGCAGCCCGAAAGCCGTGTGCTGATCCTAGACGCAAACTGTCTCGGACAGATGAGGCTGGGTGACGCAACACCGTATGATGAAATGCATGGACTGAGCAGCCATGCAGACACAACGTGGAGACGGGCGAGCAAAGAGCGGGACTATCTACAGGAGGCTTGCTTACAAGGCTGGCGACATGCGCCAGTGGAGTAGCCAAGATGCATTTGACGGAAACGAGGCTTCAATTTGATGGACCGCCACAAAAGGCTGATACCAGCTGCACAATGTTCTGCGCAGACTGGTATTCCGGATCCATTGGCCTATTGGGTACCGAGGGAACAGCTCTTTGAATGCATTGTTTTTTTTTTTTTTTTTTTTTTTTTTTTTCAAGAAACACAGCTCCAGTTTTCGACAGGGCAGAGTTGGATTGCTGGAACACTGCGGGATGTTTCTGCTGCAGAACTGGATACATGTCAATATCTTTCGCGAGCAGACATGGCGCAAGTCCGGGTGGTGTAGATTCTGGCAGTGGCTGGATAGGACGCCAATGGCATTGGCTGGAAATTCAATGGATCAATTGATGGTTTCACATCAAGAGCCCATGTCTGGCCATTTAGTCGCAACACAAATCGAAAGCGCCGAGAGGACCAAGACCCGGTCCTCCGCCGCAAAAAACGCGGGGGGGGATTAACCAGCAGCCATCCGGTAGCAGGCTTTTATTATTTCCTCCCAAAGACTTCCACGACCGTCTACATACTACTACAGGCATGGGGTGAAACGAAACACAGTGGTGCCGCGCCCCATTCTGTTGCCCCTTCTCACAACCATGGCATTGTGAGCGACATGATCAATGTGAGGGGGAGGCGGCGCCACTGAAGACTACTCGACTTCAAGCTCATCGTAAGGGCCATGGATGGTTGGCCAGAAATATCAATATTTCTATACCGAAAGACGACATGTTCGGCATTCGGCGTCTGCGCGGAGTCTTTGAAGTGCGGTCCAAAACGAGGGGCTGCCAGATCAATCAGAGTGGCAGTGTTCTCGTGTCTGTTGCTAAAGGTGGTAGGAACCATCTATCCTCGAATCTTGGATATACAGATTCAGCAGGTTGCCAACGTGCTGCTGTGCAATCTCAAAGCCCCTCACGCCAACCCATGATCTGAGGAGTGCATGGGGCCTGGGGGTCCTGCCAAGAGAACGACGAGGGGATACGGAGTGGTCAGGATCGCTTCAACATGATCCAAGCGGCTGGATCTCCTTGAGACGTACGGAGTAGCCATGAGCTGATGTTTTGAAGACAGAAGACTCTGCCGCGCTAGACCTGAATATGGTTCCAAAAAAATCGATGGCTTAATCCAAGCAGTTGGTCGAGTTGCTAGGGTGCAACTACCGCCAGACAAATTGACGACAATATTCCCTGGACTCAGCCTACACGTACACGGTAGGATCCCTACCTTTTGCCTTCTTTCCTAACCGGCTTGAATCGCAGCACATTTCCAACATTATGCCATGCAAAACTTTCGCTTCGACAGACCGCAAACGGCAACCAAATCTACATTGCACCAAGAAGCAATGACGTCGTTGTGCCCCTCTCTTCCCCACCAAATCCGACTGAGCAGAAACGCAAAAAAATGGAAAAGGCAAGAATAATTTACTCGAGACAGGTGGCTTCACCGCCCTCAGAGTGGATGTTGTCGTCGTCGGCACAACTCACAATTCACAATTCGTAACAGGATCCACCGGGATGCCCCCCGATGGCCCCATATGCAGCCGAACTTCCAACCTTGGATTGCCGCGGTGGGCGTGATAAGGTCAACGCGAGTCAATCAATACTAGCACTATGCACGGAGTAGTACTTTGTGAACTGCCGCCAAGCCGTGACATGACGGACTTTGGAGTACGGAGTAGAGTGTTGGATGCATTGATGGTGTCTCTCGGGGAGCCGGTTGCGTGGTGGCCACCGCAGAGCCCACCATTGAATTGGCGGCTGAATTCGCCTTCCCAGCCATCGAGCCACCGCTTTCCAGCTTCCAAGGATATTGCTGGCTCACTTGCAGGTGAGTTTGTTCATGTTGGTGCAAGACGGACAAGACAAGGGTTCTGCCCCGAGAATTGCATGTAGCACGTGGGGGACTGATGGCTGCATCAGTACATACATACATACATACATACATACACACAGCCATCAATAACATGCGCGGAAAGCTGGCAGTGCCACCAGCGGACCTGTCGGCGGCACCGCAGTCTGAGGCGCGGTGCGACACCGTAGGAGCCAACCGACGGACCGCTTCGGACATTTCGGCGTCTTGGGGCGGCGTGGGCGTCTCGGCGAGAGCTCGACCTGCGACACCATGGATCCACCCGCTCTTGCCCACTTCGCGCGGATCGTCGTTTCCTAGAATCCTCACCATAGCATCACCATTGCCATTCTCACTGACGTCCTGCCAATCCATCTACTCCGTGCAGGTGTTTCTTGGTAGAGATCACCAACACTGTGCATCTTGACAGGAGCTGGGTTCACTTTTGCAGCTAACACCACACACTGCAGCTCGCATACGAAAGACACAGCTTAAAGAGCCGCTAGAGCCTCCAGAGCTTAAGGGCTTCAAAAGCTTCAAAAGCTTCAAGAGCTTCCGAGGTCCACAGCTTCCTTTGAACCGCCATCATGACATTCGCAACCGAGATTCACACCTTCCACTCCGGCAGACCACAGCCTCAAACCTCCTCTTCCTCTTCGACATTCAAATCCATCGACCCGACCACCGGCGAGCCTCTTGCAACCATCTACACCACCACTCCCGCGCAGCTCAATGACGCCGTCGCTGCTGCGCGAGCAGCTTTCCCCGTCTGGTCGCAGACCCCGGCACCCAAGCGAGCTGCCATTCTCCTCCGCGCTGCTGCTCTCCTGCGCGAGCGCAACGACGCACTCGCCCTCACCGAGACTCTCGACACGGGCAAGGCCTGGTGTGAGACGTCCACTGTCGACGTAGTCACTGGTGCCGACGTCCTCGAGTACTACGCCCAGTTCATTGCTGGTGGCCTTCCCGGCCAGCATACCCGCCTCCGCCAGGATGCATATATTCTGACGACTCACGAGCCACTGGGTGTTTGTGCGGGTATTGGCGCGTGGAATTATCCAATTCAAATTGCGCTGTGGAAGTCGGCAGCTTGCTTGGCCGCCGGCAACTGCATGGTATACAAGCCCAGCGAAGTTACGCCTCTGCATGGAAACACCCTGGCACAGATTTACGTCGAGGCTGGTTTGCCCGCTGGCGTGTTCAATGTTGTCTACGGCGATGGTCCCGCCGTTGGCGCGCCGCTGGTTGCCCACCCCGACATTGCCAAGGTGAGCTTCACCGGCCAGGTCAGCACCGGCAGCAAGGTAGCCAGCGAGGCTGTCAAGAGCATGAAGAGCGTCACCATGGAACTCGGCGGCAAGAGTCCCGTTGTGATTCTCCCCGACGCCGATGTCGACGAAGCGGCTGACGTCGCCATGGCCGCCAACTTCTTCTCCACCGGTCAAGTCTGCACCAACGGCACCCGCGTCTTTGTTCCAGACACCTTGCTCGCCGCCGTCGAAAAGGCCCTTGTCCAGCGCTGCCGCGAAGGCATACGCATGGGCCTGCCCCGCGATGAAAAGACCAACTTCGGCCCCGTCGTCAGCGCCGCCCAACGCGACAAGATCAACATGTACATCAAGCATGGCAAGGACGTTGACCGCGCCAAGGTCCTCTACGACGGTTCTGTCGATTCCCAAAAGGACAAGCCCACCCCGGGCGGTTTCTGGGTCCCCCCCGTCATCTTCACCAACTGCACCGACAACATGCGGGTGGCTCGTGAGGAAATCTTTGGTCCTGTAATGTGCGTCCTGCCGTACAAGGTGGCGGGTAAGTCTCGGGAGGACTGGGTGGCAGAGGTGGTTCGACGAGCAAACGACACGCCCATGGGTCTTGCTGCTGGTGTGGTGTCGAGTGATGTTGGTCTTGCGCAGGACGTGCTGAGACAGCTGGATGCGGGCATCACCTGGATTAATACGTGGGGTGAGTCACCGGCGGAAATGCCTGTGGGAGGATGGAAGATGAGTGGTATCGGATTGGAGAATGGGCACGAAGGCATCCAGGCGTATATGAGAGTCAAGAGTACCTTGGTGCAGTTGGGCAAGGGCGCCTGCAAAGGGATGTTTGCCAAGTTGTAATGAGTATGGGTAAAGGAGAATCGGGAATGAAATGGAAATTTGGAGGACGTATTTAGCGAATTGCGTAGTCAATTTTGTATATGAAGCCACTCGTCTAGTCTTTGTATGTACGGTGCATTCTGATGGAATTGTAGCGCAGGCCGGCTCAATGCATGGCTGTTGTGTTATTAACTGGCAAGCCAGAACAAGTCAATCTGGACAAAATCCTTTGAAGGGCCCTTGTACATGACACACGTATGGAGTATTTCACCACAATCACAGTACGAGAAATTTGTTTTCAAAAAAAGGTGCTCTACTATCCTTGGATGAAGGCACAACTCTCCGAAAACAGTGTCCAGCGCCGGTAGTCCTCCTTTCCTCTTCCCCCGTCTATGGCATCTACCCTACAACGCCGCAGTCTCCAGCAAAGTCCTCGGCTCTCCAACCCCCATCCTTCTCGATTCAACAAAACGCTCAACGACTTATTTGTTCCGCTCGATCAAATCCCACTGGTTGCCATACAGATCCCTCCAAACGCCCACCTTTCCATACTCCTGCACGACCGGCTCCCGCACCCACTCCACGCCCGCCTGGCTCATGCTCCTGTAGTCCCTGTCAAAGTCGTCCGTCTCGAGGAACAGAAAGACCCGGCCGCCGGACTGGTTCCCCACGGCGGCGAGCTGCTCCTCCGTGTTGGCCTTCTGCAGGACAATGGTGGCGGCGTCGGGGCCCGCGCCGGGAGGGCGCATGGTGACCCAGCGTTTGGACTGGGCGGGGACGAACCTGTCCTCCACCAGGGTGAAGTGTAGCTTGCTGTAGAAGGATATGGCTTCGTCGTAGTCTTTGACCACGAGGGCTACGTGGGAGATGTGGCACCTCATGGTTGTTGGCGGTGCGTCCGAGGGTTTTTTTTGGGGTTGCGAGGAAGAGTTGTGGGTGAGAAGTTGGAAGTTGGGCTTGCCGCGGTTGGATATGCTACTTGCGTCATTTACATAAGCGTCGACGGTGAGTCCACCACGATTTTGCAAGGTTGCGCTGGGGTTTTGTTTGGCTTGTCGAGCTTTGTGAGTGTTGGAGGATTTCCGGGACACGTCTCTCATTGGGACATTGAGCTCACGCGGTGGACTCTGACCAGCCGAGTTGCCATTTGGTGTTATGGCAAGACTCGAATCCAATGCATCAACCTCTGGCATCTCAGAGTCGCAGGCACTGCAGTCTGTGATTAGGGGGCCGAGTTTCTTTACAGGGCGGCTGGGAGTTTTCATTTGATTGAATTCCCAGCAAAGTCCGTGGCTGCCGGCCAATGTCGAGCTTCTTGCTCGCATGCAACTACGTAGGCAACCATGTGCGCGGAAGAAGCATGAAAAGACTATAGATATATACATAGAAACATATATACTTGGGAAGTTTCAGCAACGTGTCTACTTCTATTGGTAAGTGAGTACCCATTAGTGATTCTCTGTAACTGTTTAAATATGCGCACAAAACGAAAATTTAAAAAAAAAAGAAGCAGCCTCTCTGCATCGCTCACAGGGGAACGGGAAGGTTTCTCTGCATATATCCCCTCCACTTCGGCAACGTTCTCGCATACTGCGTACCCTTGGTCAGGTCCTCAATAGCACTGCCCCATCTCACGAGCTCCTCTTCCGCCCAGGCCGTGTGCAAAATAGCCAAGCCGTAGCCCATGCCCGACTCGTCGTCGATGCCCGCAGGCACCGTGATAGCCGGGTAGCCAGCTTGTGCCGAAATCTGATAGCTCTGGGCAACATTAGAGGGGACCAAGAGCCCGCTCAGCATCTTGTTCTCGTGGCGGAGGGCGTCGTCGATGCCGCCACGGGTAGTGGACTGGCAAAAATTGAGTGCCTGCCAGTACGTCTCGTCCTGGATGCCCTTCGTTTCGAGGGACGCCAGGAACCCGTCCTGGCCAGAGAACCACGCCGGGTTACCCAGGGGCCAGGGGTTGCCGCCTTGGCTGCCGTCATTGTCCAGGTTGTACTTGACGATGTCGTCGATGGTACGGATGTTTGTGTTTCTGAGTTTGGCGAGGTACTTGTTGATGTTGTTGTAGAAGTCGACCTTGATGTAGGTGTACTCTGACTCGTTGGGAAAGCCACGCGTGGTGCCGTAGTCCCAGTTCCACCCGTCAGGGGAGACGATGGTTTCGTAGTTTGTAATTTCGGTGTTGTTAACGATGGTGGCGCCAGCGTCTTCAATGAGCTTGACGAGAGACACCAAAGTACGCTGGTGCTCGGCACTGGCATGTACCCAGAAGCTATTCCAGGGAATGCCAAAGGTGGCATTCTTAAGGGTTTCTTTGGTGGTGAGAAATTGAGCATAGCCTCTCTTGGGAGTCTTGCCCCTCTGCGCAGTTGTGTAGTTATCATGGCAGTCGACGCCGTAGATGGCATCGAGTGCGTAGACGGCGTCGCGGACAGTGCGACCGAATGTGCCAACTGAGTCCTGGTGTTCTGTTTCAGGAATGACACCGCCGCGCGACGTGAGGCCGACGGTGGGCTTGAAACCTACGATGGAGTTTCTCATGGCAGGGTTGATGACTGCGTCTGTTAGACTGGTATTCTTCAATCGTTTATACAGCACCAGCCGTCTGGAGCAGGCAAAATTAATGACATTGGGCGTCACAAAAGGTAGACTCACCACTGCCATCCGTCTCAGTTCCCAAGGAGAAAGCAATGCAGTTGGCAGCAACACCAACACCGCTGCCAGAAGAGCTGCCTCCAGGGTTCACGGTGAAGTTGTACGCGCTCCTGCATTGTCCACCACGCCCAGAGTATCCCTCGGAGTAATTGTTGCTTCGCATGTCTGCCCACTCACTGAGGGTGGCTTTTCCAAACAGCACAGCGCCGGCTTTGCGCAGCTTGGCAACGACATAAGCATCACGGGGTACTCGGCTACCGAGCAAGGCCCAGCTACCGGCGGTGGTTTCAAGGTTGTCCTTGGTTCCAATATTGTCCTTGACAGTGAAGGGAATTCCGTGCAAAGGACCACGGACCTTGCCCTGCCGACGCTCGTCGTCGAGCTGTGCGGCGATGGCGAGTGCATCGGGGTTGATTTGCATCACAGAGCTGCCGAATCATGTCAGCCTTTTGTAATTCTTGCTTGGCAAGACATGAATGACGCCTTCGGATATATAAAACTTGGCAGGCAAATGAAGAAAAAAATGCGACGACCTACTTGATATACTGCTGTGTCTGGAACGTCCGCGTCATGTAACAAGTAACCAGCTTCACGCTCGTCAGGGTCCCTTTCCGCATGGCCTCTTGCATACCATCAATTGTAGCCTCCTCGAGTTTGAAGCCAAAGCAGTCCCCCATAGGGAACAGCTTATCCGTGCCAGCATTCTCCTGTAACGGAACCAAGTTGGGTGTGAATTCGAACACACCGTCTGCACTTGTGGCTGAAGCTCCCGCAGCCGCGGCCAAGAGTGACACCAGAGCAGATCGCATCTCGATTAGATTTTGGCGCAACCACACCCCACGGATCTGATGAATATTTCGATGGAACGCCCTGACAATTCCCGCAATCCGTGCGCCGATGAGAGTCTTCCGAAAGAAGAAGTGGTGGCGCCGACCCAACCTGGAGTCCTAGCGCAATTCTGGGAGAAGGTCGATGGCAATGGAAAGAAGGGGGAGGAAAGAATAAAAATACGTACTTGACAAGAGAGGTCAGCTTCGACGAGCGAGCCAACAAGACGGTAATATTGCCTTGGACGATGCCTCCATGGCGGACCACATGCAGTCAAGCCATTTCCACATCAAGCAAGGCGGATTTACTCATCTCGAACTTCGCAGGATGTCCGGAGCAGGGTTCCTTCCCCGTTTGTTCACAAGTCATGGCATCTCAAATCATTGGACCCGACTCTTGCAGGGCCAAGAGCTCTCTCTACTAGAGCGCGCGCACGAGTGCAACCAGATGCAGGCAAGCCAGATGGCAAATTGGATGTACTAGCCCGAAATTCCCGGCCTCGTTCATTGGGTTAGGCTCCATCCAGTTCATGTGAGGAGGTCCACGCGTCCAAGGTGGACTGTTGCCATGGATAGGCCTGTTGTTCATGGCCTTGCTGACGGCCAAATTGAGGATAGTTGCTTCCAACGTCGGGTGAATTGCTCATGTCGGTGGGCTCACTCTTTTTGCCAGGCAGGTGCGCTCACGCGGCAGTCTCGCCTCACCAGGTACCTGACCTGGCTATCAGACTTTATACTTGTATGCATAATAGATTATAATACCAGATATTAGTACATATATTATAATAGGTAAATAGATTTTACTATAAATTTCTTAAATATATATATAAGAAGAGTTCTAATACAATAAATACCCAAGTAGTAGGGGGCTAAGCGCACCTAGCAAAAAGAGTGAGCCCGCCGAGCAATTCAAAAAAAAAAAAAAAAAAAGGTCGCTTGCCGCGGTACCGCATACATGCAAACGTTCAGGGGTGGGAGGGGAAGAGCCGCCTGGCGCATTGGAAGGACGTAGCGGCCGGAAATGGCGGCTCCCGCGTGCATGATTGGCCCATCTACAATTTAAACCCTGAATGGTTAGCCAGGTGTGACATGAGAAGGCGGGTTACGGCCAATTAAAGGGAATTTTATTATGAGGAGCATGTGGGGGGAGGAAGTACCTGATAAGCCGATAAATTAATTCCTCCTGTCAAATCCGCCGTCGTTTCTTGACACGGGGTCGCAGGCTTTGTCGGGCTTCCTTGGAGAGACGAAGGATTCCAAATCTCCACTTGGGAAGGCAACAGAATAGTAATTATTGCATTTTGGAGAGGCCCAAAATGCATTTGCCACGGTCCTGAAATTGGTGTCTTTGAACCAGTGCCATGTACTCTATGTATTGAATCCTGCATATCGTGGCCTGTCTGGTTGTCTGATCCGACTCGAGTCAGTCGCAAAACATATGAAGGATTGTGTCAAAGTGATAACTGACACGTCACACATGCCCTAATCTAAGATGAAGCATTTTTGCGTTGTTCAAACGCTGGACTACTACTTCTCTCTTTATATGAAACAGTTGCTCAGGTTCCTGGGAAATTTTTAAGCCAAGGGCGCGTGTTGCGTCTACAGATATACATATCTTCGGCCAAGATGGCTGGTGTCCAACTGCCGGCCCGTGTTCTTCCTACTCTAAATTACAAGTTCCCATAACTCCTTATAATATGTAAAAAAACAAAAAAAACCATGCGCTTGTTCCCTTTCTCTAGGTATAGATTAGACTTTGCTTTTTTGCCCCTTTTAAAAATTCACCGTCGCAGCTCAATATTGTACATATTTCCCATCTGATTGCTGACCAGGGTGGCCAGGATGACCCGTTTCCAACTGACCTTCCTTGACATCAAAATCGACTCTTACAAAAATGCCATCCGCCTCAGTCTGACTGTGGCCGTCAGGTTGTGAAATGGCATGGACTTCGTTTCCATATGCCGCCGTATTCTCCTGACTAGACAGCATGCTATGCTGCGAGCGTAATCGAAATGTACTAAGTGCTGTCCCTCTGGACCGTTTACTCGTCGCGCTTCGGTTGTACTTGGAGTTGCCGGACTCGGTATAAACGGTAGTGTTAAGGACATATTTATCGAAGATGGGCTTGATGCCAGGGATCGAGAGGGCGATGAGAGTGGCACCGATTTCAGAAGTTTCAACGGCGAGCATAGGATTGTAGCTCCAAGACTAGGGCATGTTAGCCCTGTAAACAAGTTCAATGTCGGTGCAAATCAGAGCCAAAGCATACCATGTCAGCTTCCCACTGTCCCTTGATGACGAGAACCAGACGGGTAATCGAAATGGCAACAACGCTAAAGGCCCTTAGTATCACAGCCGTTTACCCGCATCAGACGTAGGACTTACCCCAAACCGGGTAAAAGAATACAAGCCAGCTGTAGCTTTCTCTTTCTCGGCATCTCCAGGATCTTCAACATGGCAACCGGAATACCAAACAGCAAGAAATCACACACCAACGACACTGACGAATTCACGCTGTACACCAATCCCCACTGCAAACAGGTATATCTCTCCCAGCCAGGCTCCCAGCCATACGGCCACAGCCCCGTAACAGGCCGGCAGTGAAAAATCAGCAGGAACAGCTGCGGCATGAACCCGGCCACAATGACGGCAAACACGGCCTGGATGGCAATCAAAAATCCATGGTGTACACTGCAAATCCGATAATAAAACGCTAACCCGGAAATGCGGCAGACCAACAGGGCCACTGTATAGATAATGTGGGCGACAAAGTCGAGGACCTGAGTTCGCATGACGATGTCGACGGGTAGGACATATTGGATGTAGGCGAAGTGACGGCCTGATCCAAGGCAAATAAGTTCGATGCACAGGCCGACATAGGCGATGAGTAGAGCCTGCACTAGTTAGCTGGCACATTCACACACGAGCCTGCCGCATGCACCATTACTTTTGCCCGCGTGCATGTTGAGAACATACCAATGATACCACAGCCAACCCATCGTCATATCCAAACCTCCTCACAATAAATGTCCTCGAAACCACTCTCCCGCAAACCACAAAAAATGTCAAAATCGTCACAATCGAAATCCCCACAACAGCTGCTCGGTCCTTGCTCTCCAGCAATATCGCCCTCGTTACATCTGGTGGCACCCGGCCGTCGGCAATGGCCTGGTCGACATCGCTCATCGTGTACGCAGCAGATTCAAGGCGGAATCCTCCTTGTTTTGCAACAACGGCAACAAAACACAAACATGAAATCAGAAGCCAGGGTTTACAGATGGCGAAGAAGAGGGAAGTCGTGCCTCTGCCAAGTACGAAGTACATACATACATGCATACACATGGACGAGCAGGGGGCGGAAAAAATCGATATGGGCTTAGAGCGGAACGCCACTCGTCGGTGTCGGTACTGGGTTATTTCCTAGTAGTACTACTGACTGGTTGACAGGCGAGGACATGCCTGCTTCCATCATCCCTCTCAGCTATTATGTGCGTGTGGGCGCCGTGTTTCGACTTTTGCTTGGGTTAGTCCGGTTCAGGATCCCTGAAGATTTGGGATGGGATGTTGGCTGGAATTTGATTTGCTAGAGCTTAATGCTCCTGGTGGTCTAGGGATCGGAGCCAGTTGAGTCCTTCGAGAGCCACAAGCATTACTCGTGCACCACTTTCGGGGTCGGTGGCGCTGGGCGAGGGCGGCCAACATTGAAGTAAGCCGCCAAGCGATTGACTAGCCGCGGTGCTGGAATGGTGCTGGCGGTCAGTAGCGTCAGGAGATGGACTGGTAGGTCAGGGGTATACATACGCACATGGTGATGGGTGCTGTCACGCAATTGACCCGTTGACGATTGACCGCCACGAAGAAACTTGATGGTTACAGGAGCCGGTGGGACTAGTACATATTTTTACGGAGCACGGAGTACACTCCGCCCGACTGCATGAAAGCAAGAAAGCAAATAGTGCAGCCTCTCCTTCCTTCCTTCCACAGGCACCACCACATGCTCCATTAATTACAGTGGGAGGCAGAAAGGATGTGACCACTACTTGGGTACGTACTATGCCATGCTAGAGTACCAGACTTTACTTGATAGTATATTGGTGCGTAATTCTTGGTGGGCAATATTCTGCCACAGACTGCGAGTATGGAGTCTGATGCCTTACGGTTCTTAGTTCATGTTCATGGCCACATATGTCAATATAGCCTAGTGCGTGTTCCATTGACTGTCTGGCCAGTCGGAAGGTGCTGCCACCGCAACTGCCGACAGTTGACGCTTTAGGTGCATAACGAAGCTGACAGCCCCCAAACCCAAAGAACAAGGATGAACCTGTAAACTTTGATTGCGACCTTGCGAACCTGTACACACTGAGACCAATAACAACTAAAAGAGAAATTCGAAAGAAAAAAAAGGCAAATGCCCTAACCTCAATAGTCACAAGGCCACTCACTCCCGCTCGCCAAGTAAGCATTGTCCAAACGGGACCTCGGCTCCGATCAGTTCGCATTGATGCGTTTGACGAAATCAGGGGCTCCGCATGCAAATTGGCTGGGGTCTTGGCCCACAGGCTATTTACCTGCCACAAAATTATCCATAAGTGGTGGCTGGCTGGGTGTAAATAACCGGCATTTTGCATGGCCGGGAACCACGGCAAGCTTGCTTCCCCACTTGAATTCAATTATTGAGTGAAAATGAGCTGTAATATTCTATCTCCAGTTCGTTCGATATGTATTGCAAGCAGTGATTGAACATGCGTATCTTCAATTTGAAGAACCACCTTGTCACCCTGGCGAGAGGAGGGGATTGCTCCGACGCCATCGAGAACGCCTCTCGAACAGGGCAAAGCGACGGCGCAGGTGGGCCGACGTTGCATTTCTAGAAGTTTGGAAACCCATGTGCGGCATAATGGCAAACATGCGACATGATGTACGGAGTACCAGACATAGTACGGAGTACTTAAGTAGTTGATGTGAGCCCCTATCGCGTTACTATTATTCCGTGCAAACTCGTACGCGTGAATGCGCAACTACACCACGACACCTCTGCATCCAACAAATGTGTCTGAGCTACGACGTACTAAATTAACGACTGAGCTAGCAATTAGGTTAACGGCTAGATGAACTGTCAAATCGAGTACCGACCCAGGTAGATAGAGCTACATGCATAGTAGTAGTAGGCAGGTTTGCTAGTGCAAGAATGTGGGCCGTCTTGAAGTTTCTTCACGGGACAGTCGCCCGTCATGGCCATCGCAGCCGATCGATGTCAGTTGATGCGAACGGTGCTAGACCCTAAATAAGAAGGATCAATTACTACTCCATGTTCGCCTTGGCTGCAAAATCATGCCACGCACTGCCCAACATCATTGGTCTCTCGCCAAGTACATGCCTAAAGCGTCTGGTCCTCCTCTCCTTCCCCAGGCCCTCCCACTCTTCCCTCCCAATCCTGCACTCAACCTCTCCCTCCTCCGTCGCAACAACCGGGTCCTCGAAATCCACCCAAAACCTCCGATATCCTCCCAAACCTCATCCCACACGCAGCCATCGCCCCTCTTGACGCCTCATTCACAGCCATCGTCTCGCCCATACCTCAACAAAGCCCGAGCCCGTTCCTTCGCGCACCCCTGGCGCCAATACTCTGGAAGCAGGCGGCATCCGCTCTCAGCCTGCGTCGAGTCCACTGCCCCGTTTGCAACACTTGGTGCCAGGGAGAGCCAGCCGATCGCCTCGGCGCCGCGATAACTTACCCCGTAGCCCAGTCCATCTACTTTTGTGGAGGTCTCCAGGCGAACTGTGTGGTCCTCGGTTGCTTGGGCGATGGCGAGGGGCTTGTTCTCGAGGTATTTCATGACGGCCGGGGGGGTATCAATGGTGATGATGAGGCCATTCTATGATCATCCCCAGACTCTCGGTGCAACCTACAACGGAGGAAGAGCAAGTAGCCATGTTTGACTGGTGGGAGCGCACCTACAATTATCGTAGTCTGACCTTGAAAAATGAGAAGCTGAAAACATTCTACGGTCTATTGTTGCAGCTATTCTTTGAAGCATCAACACAAGTTGCGACAGAGACCGCCAACTTGGTTCGCCATCTCGGGGCCGGCCTCGTAGTGACTTATTTTGCGAACAAGCTAGTCAAATCCACGGACTTTCTACCACAAAAGGTATCCAATTGGTATATGTCACTATTTCAAGGTCATAAATTGGGCGAGAAATGTCCTCGGCATCAAAGCAATTCACCTAGCACACCCGGAGGTTTGGACATGCGACTCTCCAAGCACTACATTCAACCATGGCAATCAGAAACTCATGGGGAATTCTCAACACCGAGAAGATTGAATCACAGTGTACCTGTATTTCTTATGCTCTTGCAAAGCTGTCAACGGGGAGTGCCTGTAATAACCCGAGAGTACAATTTAACATGGTCCTACAGGCCACAGGACGTGGACGTGTTTGCACTTCCGAAGTGAGGCAAATAATTCACGAGCCGCAAGTAACCCAGCAGAATGTCCACGAATAACGTAAACTTGCAAAACCCTAGAGGAAATATATGTGTATTTGTGCAATCATTACAAATGAACTATCTCGATGCCAAAAGGGCAATATATGTATCAATGCCAAAAAGAGAGAACATTAGAAGGGATGAATCACGTTTCAACTATCAGTCAACGCCACCAGCCAGCCTAAAACGATACCCAATAATTAAGACAGCAAGTGTGAAAATCTCTGGCAAATCATGTGGCACTGCCGCCAAATACGCAAACATACCACACACAGCATGCCATGTTACATCGCACACTAGCCAGGGACCTTGGCTAGTAAAATACTTTTCGCCTCCCGTCGCAGACCTAAACTCATTTGTGCCACCTCTTAACACGGAAGAGATAGTATAGCAAGACCGCCATGGAGATATTAAATGCGATATATGCCCACATAATTCCAAAATTGCGGAACCTTTCGCTCCAGAAAATATCTGAGCCGGCCAGCAGTTGGTCGGCATTGCTGACGCCGCAATACCGGCACTCTGATGTAGCATCCGGGTTCTGTAGAGTACCAGGTGCTTGCTCGAGAAGAGGCTGCAGATACTGTCCACAAGTCATGCCTTGTGGAGGGTTGAAAATGTTTGCCTCACTCGTTGAGCAGGTAATTTGGCGACCGTGAAGCTCAGTACCAACAATACCGCCGATCCAGTAGGTGAAGGGACTAATACGATACATAAAGATCCTGTGGTATCGTTAGCAAATGCAGGCCAAATAATCCAAATTCTCAAACACACCAAAATCCGGGCAGGGCTGTTGCAGTCTGCAATACACCACTGAAAATAATACTCATGATGGCAAGAACATTGACAATGCTTCCCGCGGTATGGGCATCAGGCATGGCAACAATGGTCATATGCGCAAAGGCACTGGCGTAGATAAACAGCTGGATGACAAATGCCAAAACCAGGCCTTGTCTGGCGGAGCTCTGGATGCCGATAACTGGGTAGTATGAAGCAGCCCAAATCAGGATGGCCGTAAATATTTGGTACGGAATCTCGACGATAATGTTCGCAAAAATGAACGCAACCCAGGAGTACGCTTTGCTGGGGCGTTCACGGACTTCGTACAGAGACCGTTGCGTAACGAATAGGGGTTGAATCTGAGAGGCATTATTAGCAAGAGGCAATCAAAACGCCATGGAGAGCAATCCAACTGTACCTGTTGCACAATTGATGAGAATATGGTTGTAAGCATAAAAGTATTGAAGATGACGTTTTGTGTGCCACCCATGGTGGGAGGGGCGTCAAAGAAAGTGAAACCGATGAAGAGACCAGCAAAGATACCCAGGGCAAACTTGGCAAAGATGTAGCTCGGCATTCTCCAGTATTGCTGGAAGATGCGACGCGTAACAACCTGGATCTGAGTTGCCAAAGGCATGGCGAACTCTGTGTGTTTGACTGTCTCGCCTTCGGCTCGAGGTTCTTGTTGCTTATCGCGATGAAGAGTTTCCATTTCCTGCATGACGGCCTCTCGTTGAGGGCTAGCGTGCCATACCTCGTGCCAATCTTCTCCCTTGTTGTTCTGCCCCTTGTTCACAATCTCGAGCATGTATTCTGCAGGATTCTCGTCATCACCACACTTTCGACCACCATTGACCTCAAAGTAGTCAAGAAGAGTCCGTGAGTTGTCACCAATGTTCCCAAAGTACACAGTTTTCCCGCCCTTAGCCAGGAATAATAAACGATCAAATGCCTGAAACAAGACGGCGCTCGGCTGATGAATGGTACACAAAATAGCCTGGCCAGAGTCTGCAAGCTTGCGAAGGAAAGCACAAATAGCCCAAGAACTTTGCGAGTCAAGGCCAGATGTTGGCTCATCGAGGAAAAGAAGAAGCTTAGGTTTAGCGGCCAGTTCGACACCAATAGTGAGAAGCTTGCGCTGCTCGACGTTCAATCCTTGACCTGGAACACCAACAACAGCATTGGCAAAGTCCTCCATTTTAAGCATTTTGATAACCTCTTCAACAAACTCGTACTTCTCCTTCTTGCTTACTGACTTAGGCTGGCGAAGCATGGCGCTAAATCTTAGACTTTCGCGAACGGTGGCAGTTTCAAGATGCAAGTCTTGTTGCTGCACATAACCGGTATTTCTTTGAAAGCTAGGGTCGAGCGGCTTACCATTGACCAGCATATCACCGGTGATGACTCCCATCGTTGTTCGTTGAGCGAGAGCGTCTAGCAGGGTAGTCTTACCCGCGCCACTAACTCCCATAAGGGCAGTGAGCGTGCCAGGTTTAACCCAACCAGAAACATGATCCAAAAGCCGTCGAGGTTCTCCCTTAATCTCGATATCGTACACCACGTCACGCCAGGTAAAGATATCAGTGTGTGGCGCGAGTGCCTTCACCTCAGTCTTGCCATCGCCATTCGCAGTCTTCTCATCAGCAGTTGTCGGGGCTTCATCATTCTGAACAGCGTGCTTGCTACCCTTCTGAAGGTAGGCTGGAACGTGGCCACGGCGAAAGACGAGCGCCTCGGCGGTACTGGTGGTTGCTGAGTTCAGTTCCACGGTGATGAAGTAAGTGATTAAGAAAAATACCAAGAACCCTATTAGGATGCCAAAGTTTCGCCATACATGCGAGTAGTAGTACTCGTAATTTGTGGCAATGAAGGCATCGCCACTTACAGTGTACTGACCAGGTACAGCACCAGCTACATTGCATACCCAAGAATTGCCAATGTTTGGTGAGTATGGTGGCACAATGCTGGAGCAAGTGAATTGGCGGTTGTGGAATTCGTTGGCTACCAGAATCTCAAAGGCATAGAAAACCGGGTTGATCCATCGGATCCAGCTAAACCAGGGATGCATCAGGGGTACCGGGATAGCGAAGCCGGTGTAAATAACCAGTGCCAGAACCAAGACACCAGACAATGTCATGGCCTGTGAAACCGTCTTCGTAGCAGCGGCCATGGTTCGAAATACAGCAGACATGACGAAGGTAGAGATGTAGGTGATCAGGAAATACAAGAAGAACGGGCCAGGTTGACGGCGCAGATCTGCCAAGAAGTACAACACAAGATTGAAGGCAACTGCAGTGACAAACTTGACAGGAATATCGGCAACTATCCCTGCCGCTGCTTCGGCGGCAGGGTGATAGAATGCATATGAGGCGTGTTTTTCCACAATCGGCCGCTGATCATATAGGCCAGTGATCTCAGAGATCGATGTCAGAGCGTTCATAAGGATAGCCATGAATAGAACAGAGCCACGGCCATAGAAACTGATGGTAGCATCAGGTTGACCAAAGAAGATTGAACCAACTATGAGTGCCATAATAACATTTGATATAGCCTGAGTTGCAGTTGCGGATATGTCGTTCCAGATTCTTTGGTAAGCTCTTTTGGTACAAAGCTTGATCTGCATCCAGACACTGATGATATAGGGCGATTTGGGGCGGACATGGTTTGACTGTCGCAAGTTCTTTTGTTCCCTGAACTGAGCGATGCTCTCGCCTTGTCTCTCACCCAGAAATTCCTTGTTGTGGGCATCGATGTCTTGAAGAAGGGCTTGATACTCAGGGGATTGGCGCCAGAGCCGCTCAAAGTCCTCGGGAGTGCGGGGAACTTTGTTTTCAAAGCCTTCGCGAGCCACTCGCTCCTGAGGGTTTGTGACGGAGGTGAGGAAGTCGCCAGTGGTCTGACGCGCAGGGCAGAACCATCCTTGCTTTTCAAAGTAGCGCTTGGCCTGATTGGCAGGTCCAAAATAGATCTGACGACCTTCATAAAGGACGGTTGCCTTGTCAAACAGGTCATAGATAGACTGGCTTGCTTGGTATATGGCAACGGCATTAGCTTGGTGGCCAAGGTCAGAAGCCAGTCGCAGTGCCTGAACAAACTTCAGGGCAGTAGCCGAGTCGAGACCGCGAGTGCTGGCAGAATAGATTAGCCACGGGATGTTGGAATTTTTAAGAGCATGTACACACCTGTTATCCCACGCAGTGAAAGGCGAGCCGGCCACCACCATTTCAGCGATGCTGACTCGCTTTCGCTCACCGCCAGAGACACCTCGAACAAAGTCATTTCCGACTTTGGTATTGTATGTATGGCTGAGACCAAAAACAGCCATGACGACCTTTGCAATATATTGGCAATACTCGACACGAGACATTCCTTGAACACGTTGCTGGGGAGTACGGACTGAAGCCGCAAATTCAAGAGTTTGGCCAACAGTTAGATGGGGGAAGTGTTTGTCAACCTGGGAAATGTATTCGTCAGCATTCGAATCGCAAGACACTTGGACATCGATAAAAGCACACAACTCACCTCCTGGTTGTAGACAGTTTCTCCCTTGAATTCATGAATCATCTGCTTCTGCGGAATACCGCTGTAGTGGATCTTGGTTTGCTCGCCAATGTTGAGGCCCTCCAATTCACCGCAAATTGTCTTCAGTAGAGTACTGCAGCCAGACCCTGGACGACCTAGCACGATCAATAGCTCTCCAGGCCGCAAAAACCCGTCAAAGCTGTGCAAAATCTGCTTGTGCTCCTTCTTATTGAAGCTAAAAAACTCTCCAAGCTTTAACGGGGCTGCAACCATGGATCCAACAGTGTCTTGAAGTTGCAAAGCCTCCCCAGAGCCAAAGACGTCGAGGTTTCGATACGAGACACCCACACACTTCTCGGAAATACCTTCTTCACCGAGTTGCTCCATGAACCGGCGAAGCCATTTCTCAAGGTCAAAGTCTCGATGCTCGGGATTGAAAACGGGGGCGTTTTCATCGATATCGCCAAGGGAGATAGTCGGAATGGGATGGGTCGCTATGCTAGAACGGCGACGAGAGAGGACTGTAGCAATTCGTACCAACTCAGATCTGTCTTGGTCGTCCATCATCGCTTGAGTTCCGCGTCGAGTGATGGGTTCGAGATCGTCAGAATCGGAGTCTATAGGCGCAGATGTAGGATCCTCAATGGAGCCTCTGCTGTGTTTGTGTGCGGCGCCCTTTGCATGCTGAGCAGCTTCACCGTCAATGAGAAGCTCTGGAGCATCATCGCCTTGGTGCTTGGAAGCTCCAGCCGTTGCGGGATCCATGGCGTCGATTTGCTCTTTCAACCGGCCGGGAAAGTCCACTTGCAGTTTTTGGAGTCCTCGATTCACTTGGTGGTCCCAATTCGTACAAGGAACAAAAAACTATCCATAGGACCCGTCAGGGAAAATCGACGGGGGAAACCAATGAATATGTACTTGCCATCGACCCCCATCCCTCCTCGTCACAGCCACTCGATCCATGCCTTTCTGTTGTCCCCCTAGCTTGAACTTTGTTGTTGGCAAGCAATGGAGCTTTTCAAGCCCTATGGCTACCTCATGGGAAGCAAGCTAGCACACGTTTGGGGACCCTAGTCAGCCGGAGTCTAGGCATGGGCCAAACGGACTTTCCGGAACCGTCGCCGTCGTCAAAAACGCCCGTGTGGCTCGTGAGATTGTCATGCCAGTCAAGCCCCGATCTGTTGTTTACTGCCTGGTGCTGGCGGTGGGTACAGTTGTACGCCGGGCTGCATTAGCGTCTCCGGCAATGTCTTAGCGCTCAGGATTGCCCTGTCATTGTCAAACATCTCTGTTGCGGACTTCGGTGTTTGTTTTGCCATGCTCTCTCTTCCCTCTCGCATCTTCTAATCCAAGATTATTAACCCCGGAGTCAGAGTTGACTTGGCTTTGGTCGGAAAAACCATGTTTATGCTCCGCATTAGATAATACTGGAAGTCAACACCGCAGGGAGAGAGAGGATACTGCCAGTGCGGAGTTTCAATGGACTGAATCATTCGAGACGGCGTACCTTGGGTACCTAAGTACTTGCTAGCCCACCCGCCATAGGCTTAGTAGGAGCCAGTATGACATCAAGAAAATTATTTCAGATCAATTGATGCCAATGATGCTAGCCATACTGTGAGAGGCCTGCCAATTGTGAGCATAGCATGCATGACATGACATGCAGAGAAGTAAGTTGGTAGTCGGTTGAGACCTGCATCGCTGAGAACCTGCAAGCGCTCTCCTCACAACGACTGTTCCTGAGGGGCTCCTTCCCAAAATGCGGCATGCCTGTTGGCGATTTCTGATGGTGCAAAAATCATCCTAGTCGGCTTGGCATCAACTCGCGCGGTCAAAGCCCCGCTCAAACTCTCCTCAGCATCTTGGGTTGCTGCCCACCACCAAACCCACCTCACACCCTCTTCAAGCTCAATGGCAACTGGAGCACGCAAGCCACAATGCCAGCGACCCGCCGCTTCTCTCTGCCAATTTTGCTATCCCGTTTCGCGGGCATTACGTGGAGGCCGGAGTCCGGAGTCCAAGTGCGCCGACATTGAGGCGGTGTCTCCGAAGCCCCTGGCTGCCCGCTCCGATTGTATACGCACATTACGGAAATTCAACATGGCATTAGACACCGATCCTGGCCCGTGCCGGATTTGCCATCACCCGCGGCCACCGGCGGGTTCCCGGGAGTCCGCCATCATCAGCCTCATGGCAATGGATGACGCAGCCAGGCGCGGTTACGTCACTTGCAGACATCTCGTGCGTAGGCTTCGTCAAGTGGTGGCGGACTTGGGAGTGTCAAATTGTGGCGATGGTGTAGAAAGACTCGAATCGATGCTCTACCATGTCGAATATTGGGCGGAGTTTCGATTTTCGCGTCTTTGACTCGGGATTTGTGTCCGCAGGTGTACCCACAGGTATAAGGGGCTTTTTACAGCATTATCAAGATCCCCTGTCTCGAAACAATTACCATAAGCCGAAGCTAACTATATCTCAATATAGTGCCTTCAATATATCAAAATGTATATCTAGCCATGTCAGCATCAGAGGCATTCAATGCCGAAGACGGGATTTATTCAGCCCTATGGCCAGAATCTACCACGTATTCAATTTTATTTCCCGGTGGCGGTGGCGGCCCAAACGTACCTTCGCTCACCTCTGTGGCTACCTGGATCGGCGCTTTGATATGAATACCACATTATTTCTAATACTTTATAGTGCTTTGATCTTTCCATAACGGTCTCTAGCCAAGCGCGCACTCGATTCTAGTCCCCAAGAAATCATATGGGGATGCCATGAAGGCAGAGCATGCCAATGTCGAGTACAGCCCGTCCTCGCACATATATACTACGACCTTTCAGGGCCAGACAGTCAAGAAGCTTCGGGCCTTGTTGGGGCTTCGGGCTAGCAAGGAGGCTTGTCTCAACCGTCCGGGCAGATTAAGATTGTTCGGTACCAGGAACGACTCATGTACCGTCGCATTGCGAAATCCCTGCTTTAGGGCTGAGGAGAAGGCTTCACCCAAACCTCTAGAAGCGTTGCGTCTAGCGCCGTTTCAGCAAACCAGGGTGGAAAATACAACTACTAGTACATTGGTTTTCTGCAGCTTTCACGGCTGGCGCCCAGACTTGTCAATGAAAGTGGTCTGGGCCCCTGGCTCAGAAACCTAGCCAACATAAGCGAGAAGTTAAAGATCCGCATCGTGTGAAACACACGACAAAGATGCCACGAATTACTACTCCGTATTGTATGTAGAACTGATTCTGGTGCGCCCTGGTTTCTTCACATATTATCCCTGTACAAAATCAGTACGAAGTCCGGATTCATGACAACATGAATGCTGGTATGTAATTTTACATGCGTAATAATAGCGGGACTGCATTAATATGCTCACCTCTTCATCTCCAAGAAGGTCTGGTCTGGTGGGTAACTATCGCTGTCTTCCTAGGTATTTGTTTTCATGTGATGAGGCCGGGGTCTCCAGCAACCCTGCCGCTCACATGTCAACAGTTCGTCTGCGAGAGCGACCGTGATTCAATGTTATTTGACGCGGCAACCTTGAGAGGCCTATCATTTATCAATTGATCGTACCATCAGAACAACAGCTGCTGTTAGTAGCCGTTGCTCCTTGGCCAACTGCCGCCGAGTCAACAATTACAGACACCTGACTCCCGGCACCAATGTGTACGAAAATTCTCTCATTTTGGTAGAAAAACCAGATTCCTACCCCTCCAACCCCAATTGTTACGCCGCACCGTATGTGTGTCAATTGACCTCACCAACTTGACCCCTGCAGCTTGATTTAGATGCCCTAAAGCCACCTGACCGTGCTGAATCGCCAAACCCGAACACGATATCCCCATTCTCCCTGCCTGATCCCATATTGCTACGCTCATGTAACAACTGTGGCAAATCAATATATGCTTGGGGTCTCTCGAAGCTTAATGGTAGGTCGAATGCATCCTGAACCGGACCGTGAAATTAGCCCAATTTGGATTCTGCCTAGTCCACATTCGTGTAGAGTATTTACCCCCAAGCTTAGGAGCGCCACCGCAGGACCATGTTGGCGAAGCGTTGTATCCGACTCTGGCTGGGTATCTTGGTTGGATGCGCTGGGTTTCTTTGTGTTGGCGGATGTCTTGACGAGCCATCCCATATATGGCCAGGGTGTTGAGAAACGTGCGCTAGCCTTTGGGGAATATGAATAAGATGGCAATGAACGGTTCTTCGTCAGTAAGACCTGATGCGCTTTCCGTGCTTTGTAGTGCTGATCACAGCTCGATCCCTACGGCTTCCATAATGGCTTATGCTGGAGTGTGCTGTGACAGTCGTCAGTGCTGTTCGTAAAGTGAGAGGCAGAGCGAAGAAATCTCACCAATGGTGCCGCCTTCTGAGCTTGCAGTGGAATCAATTTTCCAAGAATCCTTAAATTCGCGCATACCGCTTTGATACCCATATTGCGAACGAAGCCATCATCGTGTCCCCGCTAATGCACAGAACCTCTTGGCCGTTAATGTGAGGGACCACGAGAGAGGCCTACGAGCAAAGTGACAAGAGCTCGAGGGTGCAAATGACAAGCATGTATTGCAATGGAGCTAATAAAGAGAGACCAGACTTTTCTGTGTGTATCAAGGAGGGAAAAAGTAGCTAAAGTGTACAGGCGTAGAAGTAAAGTTATAGTGCCTGAGCCGTGACTGTGGGTCCCAACAGTTGAGCACCGTCATATTATTGCAACGGTCTCCGTGAAACTAATCTTCGAAGCACTGCATCCACGAGGTGCGGTGGGTAAGCCAATAAACCAAAGGGAACGTAGGAGTCTGAAATAAGTTTAGGTAGACGCACAGTGTCCTTAGAATAAGGCAGAGGTGTAGCAAAAAGCCTCAGAAGCGTAATGGCTGCCATCAACTCCAGATCAGAGGGTTTCGTCGACAGAGATCATTCCACCAGGTCATCGAGTCTGCCGTCTCACCGTCTCTCTCCTCTCAACGGTTCCAGGCGACACCGCGGCCATTCGTTGGGTCAGCTGCTGACTGGCAACATCCATTATCCCTCTTCCAAATGTATTGGATGCCTCGCCTTCAATTGAATCTTTGCTCTTCGAACAATCCGGCTATGGAGGTGTCACGATACTCAACGTAGCGGTAGATACAGATGGTCGTAGGCAGGGAATTTGCAATCCTGCGCAATTACTGCAGCCATGATGACGTTTGTCCTATTTCACATGTCTCGCAGCATGGACTTCGATGACTTCAGCTCAAAATGTACCCCAGGTGGCCCTGGGGTATGGCGGTGGGTGAGGGTTGTCGGGCGGCAGAGCTTGCAGGTGGTAAATATATCAGAACAAGTATGCTGATGAAGCCATGGAGTCAGCTCATACTGCTGCTTCCCGGAAGTATGTGCGACAAGAGATGTATGAGTCACGGTGCATGGGGAGAATACTTGGAGTATCACCTGCGCACGCGATTTCATCCCGAACTCGCCTCATCGCCAAATGGCCCAGCTTCAGCTTCAGAATCCACTAAACAGTCGACTTTAAACGCAGCTATTTGAAATCCCGGGGTTCAGCAATCAATGGTATGCGCCATTCCGTACCTCTAAGCCGACGCCTCGGTGAGACGAGAGCGTGAAGGAATCGGCAAATAGCCGAACGAACATTGATGAACAGTCCGAGTTTCCTCTGCTAAAACATTGAATCCTTTGCTGCCTTTGATTGTCCCCGCGCGACATGGCTGTTCATGCTAACGAATTAAGGCTCCAGAATTAATAAATCCATAAAGCGCAAGGGTTAAACATGTCTCGGCATATAGCGCGTATTCATCTACTCAAGCATTACAATAGTACGCATATGTGTATATCCGTATTCCCTTGGCGGGCCGAGGCTATGAACGCCATCTTCAGATAGTACATACGCGCACCACTCGGTACGGCAATCCTTAAACGGGAGCCAGGTTAACTCATCAGTATTACCAAGGCCCTTTTCTTTTCTGCTCGGTAATACTAGCATAACAATATTTTGTGTCAGCACAAGCTCGGAGAGATGGAATCATGCTAAGCGCAATGCCATGTCATAATTTGCAGTGGGTCACGTCATCGGAACTTTAAAGGCGCTGTCGGGCAGAGGGAAAACGGTCAATGCAATAGTATTGAGTCAGGTCAATGATATCGACTAGTTGACAGTTGACCCCTTCAAGCGCCAGACGGTAGTGGACTAGCGACATCGAGCATGGCAAGCATCAATGGCACATGGTTCGCCTGAACATGTGCTGGACGGGGCAAACTGGGCTTCAATGTTCAAAAACTCTGGGGGAAGGCAGCATCGGGTGACCATTGCTTAATTGGTTCATGGGTTATTGGCTGGCCTTCCCCGCTGGCTGCGTCCGCAAGGAAGGCGTAACCCACACAAGGTGCCCACTTTCTATCCCGTTCGAGACTCCAGAGTCCAGATTCCTTGCATCACATCTTCACCTCAACCGAAGTTCCCCTTCGTCCGAGGGGCACACAAACGGCACTCCAAAGGTCTCTTGCGGCAGCTCCGATGCCCCGTCTCCATTCCTACGGGGGCGATACCATCACCGTTTTACCTTTGCCCATCCTTGCCGAAGAACTGTGTGATGCAGGCATACTAATTCCCTAGCAACGTAGGGCAGGTGAGAGGGCAATACTACGTTGCGGTCCATCATATTTGACCATCATCCATGTTGCATGTGAGTGAAATATCAGCTGCACCATCTCCATCATCACCAAGACACCCTCGACATGAGCAACACCGTCAACCAGCCGCTCTTCGCACCCCTCCGCTGACACCCATTCATTATTCGCCAGTATATGCGAGCAGTTGGGGCTTACGTTTGACACCTTTGCTCCCACGCCCGTCATTTTATACGGGTTCATGTGCCTTGCGCGCCGGGCTGCACCACACGCAACACAGTCAAACTCCTGCCTCCTTCTCTGCCTTATCAGCTAACAGACCAACGACTTACATAGGCTCCAGGGCAGGGGACTTCTTTTGCTTTTCCCTAGCAAGAACCTTTGAGTTGGTCCATCGGTCACCCCTGTCAGCCACTTTGACGACTACATTCTGCTGACACCTCGCAACCGACCACGTACAGTAAGTAGTGGTTCACATGAATCTGTTTTGCCTCACATCTCTGGGCTTTGCGGTTTTAATTTATTTCAGCACTGGAATTTCAGATGTTTTGAAAACTATAAAAATCACTTCACACATCTTGCATCCCTTGTTTTCTGCTTGCCAGCGCGCCCACAGCAACGCACGTCATGCTTATGGTCCTTGGCCCACACAGAATCTGCGGCTCCGGACATACGGAACACAGTCCAAGATTGTTGCTAGTAACATCAATCATCCTGAATAATTCCCGCTGGGCGCCTTAGCTCTACGCCTAGGCCCCTATAAACCTTTCCCCGGCCTCCACAAGCCTTTCGTACCTGGTCTGGGAGACAGGAAGTCTCCAGTCCTCCGATCGGCCCGCATATTCGAGTGATAAGAGATCATACTTCTTTCGGTGTCTGCACCGAAGCCGATGCTGCAAATTCGTTAACAACCATTGCACAATTACAATTTTACATTGGTGCCCGTATCCCAGTTGGATGCGGGGATCCATGTTCCTTGACTTGCTGGCTGCCGGCTTCTTCCTCGTTCATAGTACATGCATGTCCACGTTGTTCCGTTTCATGGACTTGTATATGAGTTCCCTGCCCTCCCACTCCTGGCCATCACTTTTCTCTTTTCCTCATTAGCCCTTGTTCTCTCATCGCTGCTATAACTCTACCCGAGTTAATACTCATTCTTCGCATGTCTCCATGTCTCAAGCGTGATATGCCATCCTATTATCTCCAGGACTGTCACTACTTCTACCGCACTGCCTTGCGCGGCCTCAACATTAGCACCAGTGTTTCGCCGCTATACTCTTAAGCGAAAGGCAGTACTATAACTGACACATCATGACCGCCAAAGTAAAGAGGGTCTTCAGCCCACCGAACTCTTTGGCAGAGAGACTGGCCGAGCCTCTTCTCGACCCTGCCATACCTCGCAAGCTCCCGGAGTCACCCCCTTCCCTCGCAGCTCAGCTGCCTTTGAACTGGTCAGCCGCTTACACAAGAATGCCTATGGATAGCAACGGGGAGAGCCATCGTGATGGCGGCATTACCTTTGCGGCTCAGGACAAGCTTCCCAAGCTTCCTATTCCTAACCTCTCTAGTACTTGCGACAAGTACCTAGAAGCTTTGCGGCCGCTTCAGACGCCTAGGGAACGAGCAGAGACGGAACATGCCATAAGAGACTTTCTCTCAACTGATGGGCCAGAGCTACAGGAGAAGCTACAAAGATATGCTCAGGGTAAAACGAGTTACATCGAGCAATTTTGTAAGTGACGATAGTAGGGATATTGGAATCAACGCACATTTCGTGTGTGTGCATCGGGCGCTGTTTTCTGATTAGATCATAGGGTACGATTCATACTTAAATTTCGACAATCCTGTGGTGCTCAACTTGAATCCCTTCTTCCTTCTTGAAGATGATCCGACACCAGCACGCAACAACCAAGTCACCCGGGCCGCGTCCTTAGTGGTATCAGCCCTCGAATTCATCCGAGCAGTTCGCAAGGAAGAACTTCCACCGGATACAATCAAAGGCAAACCCCTATGCATGTATCAGTTCTCACGACTTTTTGGAACAGCCCGAGTCCCGACCGAGAATGGGTGCCAAATTGTCCAAGATCCCGAGGCCAAACATATTATTGTCATTTGCCATGGCCAGATCTACTGGTTTGATGTTCTTGATGATAACTCGGACGTGATTATGACAGAGAAGGACATTGCCATCAACTTGCAAACTATCACGGAAGATGCTGCACAAACTCCTATCCAGGAGGCTGCCAAGGGTGCATTGGGTGTGCTCAGCACAGAAAACCGCAAAACCTGGTCTGGTCTGAGAGACGTCCTGACAAAAGATCACGGGTCAAACAATGCCGACTGTCTGAATATCGTAGACTCGGCTTTGTTTGCCCTCTGTCTAGACTACACGGAACCTGCTGATGTTGCTGCCCTGTGCCAGAACATGCTCTGCGGTACTAGTGAAGTGAAGAATGGCGTGCAGATTGGCACTTGCACCAACCGCTGGTACGATAAGTTGCAAATTATTGTGTGTAAAAATGGAAGCGCCGGTATCAACTTTGAACACACTGGAGTCGACGGTCACACAGTTCTACGATTTGCTAGTGACGTATATACGGACACCATTCTACGATTTGCCCGCACCATCAACGGGCAAGCTCCCACCCTTTGGACATCAACCAGTCCCGATCCCTCCAAACGAGACCCTGAAAGCTTTGGAGATGTCAACACCACTCCCCGCAAGTTAGAGTGGGATATGATTCCCGAGTTAAGCATTGCAGTGCGCTTTGCCGAGACGAGGCTAGCAGATCTCATTGAACAGAACGAATTCCAGTGCCTCGACTTCAGCTCTTACGGCAAAAACTTTATTACCTCCATGGGATTCTCACCAGATGCGTTTGTCCAAATGGCCTTCCAGGCAGCCTACTACGGTCTCTACGGCCGCGTCGAGAGCACGTACGAACCAGCAATGACAAAATTCTATCTCCACGGCCGTACGGAAGCAGTTCGCACTGTTTCTCAAGATTCAGTCAACTTCGTACAGTCCTTCTGGGCAGATAATCCTATCGAACAAAAAATTGAAGCTTTGAAAAAGGCCTGCCAGAAACATGTCAGTCGCACAAGAGAGTGCCTCAAGGCCGAGGGTTGCGATCGCCACCTATATGCCCTCTTTTGTGTATGGCAGAAATTTGTCAATGACGAAATTGAGAGTGGTATGAGCAGCATTGGTCAATCTAGCCCAACAGACGGCTATTCACCTGTCGGGAGCCCCGGGGGAGATTCGTCAGGATCGATGGATCAAGTTGTCGAAGTCAAGCCCAACAGGGAGCGTGGCAATAGCACAAACTCTAGATCACGAGATGCTCACCCGTTGCCTTTCATTTTCGCCGATGGCGGTTGGGACAAACTAAACACTACCGTTCTATCAACTTCAAATTGTGGCAATCCTTCCCTTCGTCAATTTGGCTTTGGTCCAACCTCTGGTGACGGATTTGGAATAGGATACATCATCAAAGACGACAGCATTTCTATTTGTGTATCCAGCAAGCACCGCCAGACGAAGCGCTTCGTCGACACCTTGGAAAGCTACCTTCTCGAAATCAGACGCATTCTGAGAATTACCAATCGCAAGAGCTCAACTGCAAAATCCAGCCGCGCACGAGAAGCAGAGGCCTCTAGACCAAAGCAAATGAGTAGACTCAAGTCGCGCGGGAGACTGATTGCCACTGACAGTGCGGGAAGGGGTCCTTCCAGACCAGAATCAACGAGTCAAACGGAGGAGAGTCCCATTGTCAGCGATGATGACGAGTTGGGCGGATGTAAGTTCCCGTTTCCACATGCAGATTTCTTGACATTAGACGCTAACGTTTGAAGACGGCTTCTTTGATGCCGGCATGTTATTGCAAGCTTTGAAAGCGAGAGACAGGGCGGCAGATCCGGTAGAGAGCGCTAAGGCTTCGGAGAGGGCGGCAGTGCAGGCAAGGAGGAGGGATGTAGGTAAGAAGTTGAGATTGACGACGGAGTAGGGAATTGTATGGGTTGATGTTTCCGAGTACTTGTATTGGATATTCCTTGATGGTTGTGGTTGTGTCAGATGAATAGAAATGAGCGCAAACTCGCGAGTTGCGAACATTTTGTCAGTGAAAACTATTGCCGTATTCTCAGACTATGGTCCGGCACTGCCTAGTGGTTTAGACGTATACGAATGCCACAAATGACTTGCACATATCATCACAGCAAATCGTTGCAACTTTACTAGGAACTAATTGCGAGCGCTTGAAATTTCTTTACATCTCCTCCTAATTATGAGAATTTGATATGGATATATATATGAACGTGCGAATAAATTTAAATTATGCCAAAAAGAAATCTACCTAAACTCCAATCCAGTAAATACATTAATGCCCGTGTAAACATGACCAATCAACAAAAACACTACTATCCTTTGCTTTGTGTTCGCTTTTATCCTCGTCAATCAAGATTATGCCAATTCATGCATATGGCCACGATGATTCTCACCAGTCTGGGCAGGGACTTCGTGCACAACTCCCTGGGGCTGCGACTGCGGCTGTGGTTGCGATTGAGGTTGAGTCTGACTCTGAGGATGTCCTTGAATAGGTGGTGTGCCACCCATGGGTTGGAAACCCGCTGGCTGCTGCTGAACCGGCGGCGTTGTTCCGTACGAGTTTGTCCAAGTCGGTGCTGGACTCGTAGTCAAATGGCTCATTCGTGGGTCCGTCATCTGTGACTGCGTCGGTGAGCTGGGATCGACGCCGCCGCCAGGGGAGTAATAGCCGACAGGAGGCGAAGGCGTGTTCTGAGGGTACGGCTTTTGGGGAGGATATCCCTGAGGCAGAGGAGGACCACCGTAGTAGGATTGTGCCATGGGGGCGCCAGGAGTAGCGTTTGGTGGCATGGGGGAATGGTCGGTCGTCGAAGTGGTTTGCGACTTGCCGCTATTCTTCTTGTTCCTGCGGAGGAAAAAGACAAGCGCGAGAAGACCGATGGCGATGGCGGCCACACCACCGACCACACCACCCACGATGGCACCAACGGGGGTCTTGCTGCCGCTGTCGCCTCCTCCGCCGCCGCCGTTGTTGTTGTTACCATTGTTGCCAGTTTGAGTAGCTGAAGCTGATGCACCGGCGTCTGCCCCCGTGGCGGTTGGGACACCGAGGGTGGCAGTACTGGGAAGTGTGCTGGAAAAGGTCTGGACAAAGCGAGAGTAGCTTCTGACTTCAGTTTGCCCAGCGTAGGTAGTGTAGGCACCCTGAGCTGTTGAGTAGCTGACTGAGTTGCACCAGTAGTCGGTGATATTGCCAGGGAAGGCAACTGTATTGCAGTAGGGGTAAACCTTGTTCGTGCTGTTTGTTCTAGTGTCAGACATGGACACAGTAATATCATGATGATGGGTTCATATAGCCCGCACATACAGCCATGTGTTGGACTGAAAGTGCTACTGAATGTAGAGAACTTACCACTTGACAATCTGTGTGTTTTCAGCACACAGATGATCGCAGGAGCTTGACTGGTACATGTTGTAATCGACACATGCGAATCTGAAGTTGAATGCAACGCTATTATAGCACATGATCATTCCTGAGAAAGTTTTCTGAGCCTGCACAAGGCCGCAAGTAGCGCCAAGGCCACAGCTATATGGAACAGCATAGCTACCAGAGATCCAACCACAGGTATTGTCCGGGGCGATCATCATGGTTAGCGGCGTCTGAGTCGAGGTGGCTCGCCCGAACAAATGTTTGGGCTCGAATCTATCCCAACCAGGCGGGGGAGTAGGTCTTGGAGACATTCCATCGTCGGCCAGAGCAACAGATGCCGTGGCTCTGGCTTGTTTGGGAACCAGATTTCGAGCCTCAACGCCTGCTGAGAGGGCCACAAAGGCACTTATCAAGGCCGAATTTGCCTTCATGATGGCTAGCTGTCGCTCTGTGCGAGGGGTTTGATGTCGTGTAGGAGAATCGAACCCGCTAGAGACTCTGGCAGCGAAGCCGCAACAACCACTTACTCCAACGACAGTTACAATGAGAGGGGGGGAAACACAGTCGAAGAAGGATTCCTTTTCTCAGTGACAGACAGAATGAGGCTGGCGCAACCAACAGTTTTTATTTAATTGAGCTGCGGGTAGGGGCTCGTGGCCCATGGACCTTTTCCTGGCACCATGCTTCCGATGTGACAGAAATGGTATTCCTGTGAAGATCAATATTGGCAGAGCCTCTCCGTCTGGCCTGCCTGGCGCTCGACAGCCGCAGCAAACCCCCTCCCCGGGTCCAGGTCGTGTCATGTCAGCCTTGAACTAGTGCTTGTTGGAGTCGTGAAGTTGCATGGGGCTCGAGGTTGAAAGGAGCCATTGGCGGCGCTGCACCTGACTGTGGCTTGCAGAAGCTGAATGCGAAATGGACCACGTCGCTTGCTGAGACCAAGTCGCTTATTGCCTCTTGATGTGCCCATGTTGGGAAGCGGTCAGTCTATTTGCTAGACTTTGTTCCATGCCCGTTGTCTGCCCAGTGCGCTGTCCATGACGAGAAGAAAATAGTGTATGCGGCCCGTTGAGCAACGCGTTCGTTCAACACGGAACCAGCTTGGGCTTGAAAGACAACCTATTTTCCACGCCTACGCAATCGCGGACCAATGTTACCGCGTCGGGGCCAATAGTTTGTAGTGTTGGCGCAGTGAGACATTCAGCCGGCCTGTGGCGAGTTTCTTCAGCTATTCCTCCTCCATTGCTGCTGTGTGACCAGCTTTGGCATGATCCTCGTCGTCAAGGAGCATGGAAACAGTTCCTCGTGTCGAGCAAGGGGGGCCGAGATTGCACGTGGAGTGTGCGCCAGCAGCAGCTCTGAGAGATTGTATCGCCGCGTTCGATACGCCCATTCCCCAACAAAGCAGGACTTTTTTGGATACCGCGAGACGTCTTGCCCGTTCGACTCCACGTGCAGAGCAAGTTGGCATCAATATCGAGGCATAGAGACCACAGCAGTGTGACATGTCCTCATCTTGCAGAAAAGGCATCGGTTTTGGTATGGGATTTTCATCTGAAACCCATGATCGAGCTGTCACTAGTTTCGGCAATGTAGTCCTCGGACAGCGCACCCCAGGAAGAAGCGTCACAGACTTTCCGGAGATTGATGAGACGAAAGCTGACTTGGTACATGGGGTGCTGATCAGCACAGACTGGTGGCGGCCGGGTTGTCAGCATGACACGAGGGTCCAGGGGGTGTAGAAGATCCTAGCTCTCGAATGCTTTGGCCTGGAATGACTGACCAATCGAATGGTGTACGGAGTATTGTGAAGAAGAAACACTGCACATGTGGTAATCTAGACGTGAAAACCCACGTGGGGGTATCGCGGTATAGGGTATGTGGATGGGATTCATTGGATTACCCCATGTTTGCGAATTTGCTGGTGATGCCAGACAACAACAACAATAATAATAATAATAATAATAAGCACCCTATTTTACCCTATATTATGGCAAGGAGTATATGAATCAATAAAATTTGTTCATCCAACGTGGCCAACATTTTGGTCTTGTTGGTCTGTACAATTTTATTCAGGCAATTCATACTCGGGTTCTCGACAACGGAGGTGCGGGTTGGATGTGGGGTCGCGGCGACATTGGGAACGACATTCACGTCACAACAGCTCCTTCACATGACTGCGACGCGTCTACTCCGTACAACACCCGCACATCTTGCAATTAGGCCTCTCCATCCACGCCAAACTGCAATGCCAGGGTCGACATTTACATCTCATGTCAATCTCAACGCGCCCCTATCCTCGAGGCTAAGTTGTTGCGTCTCTTCCGTCAACCTTGAGCCTATCATGTTACACCAAGATTTCACCCGCGCATGTCCATCCTTCAGCATCAGACAAGGCTAAAGTCGACCCTGGACATTCTTCAGCTCTCATTTCTTCCCAATTATCCTCTTTCACAAGTCTCACTCATGACCGACCTTCTCCACATCCTCCCCTCCTTCCGTACAGCCCCCTTCGGGGCATTGCTCCCCATCATCGAGCAACACGCTCTTTCGACAACAGACCTTCTGGCTCTTCACCCTGCAGATATATCGAAACAAACGAACCTGCCGCTGCTAGATCTGAAACGGCTCATTGCCACAATCCAAGTCTCTCTATCAGACGATCTCGTACCACGCCACCCCCTACAACAAATCGTGAGCTCCGCGCCAGAACACGACCATTCTCACCATGAACAGCCCTCAGAATCAAACAGCCAAGATGCCAGTAAATCGCCAGCCATCCAACCCCAGAAAGGGAATCCCTCGTCGCCTTCATTCATAAGCACCCTTTGCCCTCAAATAGACGCCGCTCTCAACTCGGGCATCCCAACCTCATCCATCACAGAAATCACGGGCGAATCCGGGGCCGGCAAGACCCAATTCCTCCTGTCACTGTGCCTCGCCGTCCAACTCCCGCCACCCCATGGCCTCCGCAAGCAAGCCCTCTACATATCTACCGAATCAAGCCTCGCGACCAAACGCCTCTCTCAGATCCTCGCGTCAAATCCTCTCCTCCAGGATATTGACTTCGCGGACCGCCCCTCTCTGGACAACATCCTCAGCACAGTCACTCCAGATCTCGAATCACAAGACCACATCCTGGAGTACCAAGTCCCCGTGCTACTGTCAAGACACAACATAGGCCTACTAGTGATTGATTCCGTGGCGGCCAACTACCGAGCCGAGTTTGAAAGGGCCGGCTCCTCATACGGCTCTAACATGGCCGCGCGCAGTGCCGAACTCGTCCGCCTGGGCGCGTTGCTGCGAGACTTGGCAAGGAAGCATGGCATCGCCGTCGTCGTAGCAAACCAGGTATCCGATCGCTTCTCCTCCTCGCCCGCGCCCCTGCCGCGGACCATGTCCTACAGGACTTCTACTTCCGCGCAGGAAAGCCCCCTCGCGTCAAGAAGCATGCCACCGCCGCCGCCGCAATCTACCCTCGCCAGCACGCCCTCGTCCCCCTTGCCCTTCTCCTTCTCGGACGACGCGCCGCCCACACACCCTGCGTTGCGACTAGATCACCAGCAGCGTTGGTTTACAGGCTGGGGGGACGACCCGCGCTCGTCGCATTCCCTGAAAACACCGAGTTTGGGACTCGTCTGGTCCACGCAGATAGGATGCAGGATAGCCTTGTTCAAGAGGCCCGTGTACGGACGGCCACGGCAGATTGCGGCACCCATAGAGGCGGATGATGACAATATTGATAGGGGGGCTACACTAAGGAATTGGCGGAGGTGGATGAAGGTTGTGTTTGCGGGACATGTTGCCGCCTCGGGTCAAGGGGTGACGGGGGCCAAGGAGTTTGAGGTAACGACTGGTGGCATTGCATGTGTACCAGGGAAGAATGGATAGATGGTTGGATCGTGACTTTGATAGGACATATATATATATATATATACATAATGTGACTTGGACACGGCTAATCGGAGCTCTTGCGCCCTACCAAGACTCAAAACACACATTACACTGGTCGAAAGGGGCACTTGACGACAGGATATCCACGCTCATATGAATCATGGTTACAAGTATGTCATTATTACAACCATTCACCATTTACCCAGAACCCATGTAAACGTTACAAGTCCTCTTCCCCCATCCCTCTCTACATCCATCAATCAGGATGGGGAAACTCATCTTCCAGCTGAAGACGCACACCGACATTCATGCTAATCAACTCCTGAACAAGAAGCTTCGCCGCGTACGGCATCTGCATCTGCGTGACTTGCCTCGTGCTCTTACAAGTATTACAGTAGCCCTTGTATCCAAAAAGACCGCACTGCTGGCAAATATCAAGTGTGACACCGTCCGAGCTTAACATGAGACGCTCCAGTAGGAGCTGCGAGGCGCCATATGCAATCAGGCAATCACGCTCCATTTCTCCGAGACGCAGTCCACCGTCCCGCGATCGACCTTCTGTAGGCTGCCTCGTCAAAATGGCCCTGGGCCCGCGGGATCGCGAGTGCATCTTGTCTTGTACCATGTGCTTCAAACGCTGATAATAGATGGGGCCGTTGAAAATATATGCTTCCAGCGGCTCCCCCGTCAGACCTGACGTGAAGTAATCTTTGCCCTCCCAGGAGAAGCCGTAGTCGAGGAGCACCTGGCTCATGTCCTTGACTGGATGCGATCTAAATGCATCGCCGAAGCCGTAGTCTGGCCGGCCATCGATAATCGAAGCCTTGCCTGTTAAACATTCCAGCAGTTTACCCACCGTCATTCGAGACGGGAAACCGTGAGGGTTCATAATGATGTCTGGGCAAAGCCCATTGTCGGCAAATGGCATATCTTCCTGGTCCACGATAATACCAACGACACCCTTTTGGCCGTGGCGAGACGAAAATTTGTCTCCTAGCTCTGGACGACGCGTTTGGCGGGTTTGCACCTTGATGACAGTGGTATCCTTCTCTGTTTGAGAAATCATAACCTTGTCAATGTAGGCAGGATCGGGAATTCGATAGGAGATGGCAGAGTCCCGGTACTCGCTTGGTCCGCGATCGAGCCCAATGCCTGTCGTCGTCAGATCCAGGGGAGTTTCTTTCTTGACCATGACCTCTCCGCTCCTGACTCGGTAGCCAACAGTGGCTAGCCCGTCATCGTCCAGAGCCTCGTACTTCACCTCGCGGCGTGTCGTGCCGCCATTCACCTGATTGACTGGATCGCCGATACGCTCCCGCCTGCCATTCGGGTACTTCTGCAGCTCTGTAGTGTACTTGCGGAAGACCTGACAGCGTCCGAATCCCCTGTCGATTGAAGCCTTGTTTAAAACCAGGGCATCTTCAATATCGTATCCAGAGTACGACATGACAACGACTGTGGCATTCTGACCAGCGGGGAGTTTGTCATAATGCACAAGCTGAATGGTCTTGGTAATGACCATGGGCCGCTGTGGATAAACCAAGGTATAAAGCAGCGTATCAATGCGGTTGAATTGATTGTACGCAATTGCTCCAATAGCTTGCTTACCCATGGCACATTGGTATGTGTTTCTGGGAGATTGGTTATGATGTGGGAATGGAATCAAACCGGCCACAGCTCCAAGGAGGGTGAATGGCTCAATCTCCAAATGGGTCGTGCTTTGCGTTATTTGATTTTCATATAAGGTGATAAGCGCGTCTTGTTCCTCGTTGACATCCAGGTACTCGACGATGCCCTTTGTCAAAAAGTCATCAAAGGTAACTTTGCCTAAATGCAACAACTTCAGATGCTCATGCCTGAGCTTTTGCTTTCCGTTCTTGACAATAATATATGGTCGGCAGATGCGCCCTTCGTCTGTCGCAATGTGGACAGCATTAAAATGGGAGTTAAGGTTGATGCTGACGAACGGTGATATCCAGCCTTTTCGACGCATGGTGCGAAATCTCGAGGCAAACCTCTTGGGGTATCGAGTAAGGGCAAAAGGTGTACCGTTCACGTGAATAACCCAGGAGCCCTCCCGGTGCATCTCGGCACCTGAAAAGTTCCGGATAGGCTCAACGCCTGTGTCGAGTGTGAAGATCCACCGCTTCACCGGAGCCTCGTCGACATTGGTTGTGATGTGTGTCATGAGAGCCAAATTCTTGACCAAACCACATGCTTCACCTTCGGGGGTATCTGAAGGGCACAGCATACCCCATTGTGATGGCTGAAGAGCACGAGGGCCAGAAACCTTGCGCGTCTTCTCGAACTGGGAGCTGATTCGCGTCATCATACCCAGGGCACTGATATAACTCAGTCGACTCAGCACGTGCGTGACACCGGCTCTGTTCATGTTGAATCGCTTCACGCTCCAGTTGCCTGTTTGGATTGCGCGGTTAATTCCCATTCCGATATTGTTGGCGTGGTTGCTGATCATGTGAACTGCATCGAGGGGGACAGCGCGATTATTCTTTTTCAGGAATTTGTCAATGGACATCTTGACTTCGCCCATGAATCGCTTGAATAAATCTTCAAAGAGTAGAGACAGGAGCTGACCCGCCAACTCCAATCGCTTGTTGCCGACAAAGTCTCTGTCGTCAACGAGCTTGGAATCCTGTGAAGCCATCAAGACTCGTCGCGTCATCATAGCCACGTAAATTGCTTTGGGATAAAAGTCCAGACCCTCGATAGGAACATGAGCAATGATGAGATTGGCCAAGGCATCAAGACCTTCTTCGACGTTATTCCGACGGACCTGGGGTCCGAACATGGCTTTACGCGACCCCATCTTTACCCTTGCGCCGATGTATTCGAGAGCCTGGTGTTGTGTGAAGACTCCAGCTCTGGTTGCCTCGTCAAAATTGATGACAAACTCATCCTGATACCGGCCATCCGAGCCAGCAACAAGTTGCATAATTTCATAGTCGGACAACCCCCCCAAGGCCTTGAGAATAATGACAATCGGAATACCTTCAACGAGAACGTTGTGCGTCATGACAATCCTGTCCTTCTTGAGGGTAACGTACGTCTTTGACTTTCGTTCGTGGGTTGAGCTGGTTACCGATGCGGATATGATGTTGTTCTTTTCGTCAGCCTCAACAATGACTCGATTTTTGCTCAGCTGCTCTTGAATCAAAATGACCTTTTCGGTGCCGTTGATGACGAAGTAGCCGCCAGGATCAAGAGGGCACTCGTTCATTGCCTCCATCTGCGCGTTGTTGGCGCCACTCAGGCGGCACCTGGAGCTTTTGAGCATCACAGGCATGCGACCAAGGGGCACATTTCTCCGTATAATTCGTTGCTTATCTCGAATATATGCGATATCGACAACAATAGGAGCGGCATACGTCATGTCTCGTAGCCGACACTCCATGGGAGTTACCTCGGTTCGAGATTTGGCGTCGTTGTGGTCCTGGCGACGGGGGCGATCGACGCGAATATCTGTAAATCTATATATGGCGCACAAGCGTGTCCTCTTAGCCTGGTTGCCCCTATGAGTGCATGGCAATTGTCTTGAACGTAGACGTACTCTAACCAAAAGTTACTGTCGACATCGCTGCGAATGGTGCGATTGGCGCGGACGATGTCCTTGATCTCCTGCTCCACGAAGAAGTTGTACGAGTCAATATGCCTAGTGCGCAATCGAGGTTAACAACTTTTCTCCAAAATTGAGCCACGTCGAGGTGTGGAATTCCGCATACTGTTTTACAAGCCCTTGGAAAATGTCAGTCTAAGTTTGCAAGGCTGATTCGGGTTACTCACCCTTTACTTTGAGAAAGGCAGGGAGAAGCTGGAACTTGTCGTCCCTGGTATTTACGGGATCCGTGAGCTTCTTGCCATTGTAGAAGGGCTCCAAGAGGGCCTCGAAGCCATCGTCCACCAGTGGCATCGTGTCCTTGACCGTATTTGTCACCGCAGAGAATTCATTTACGAGCTTGGGGGGCCGGCGTTTGGGGATGCAAGTTTGGTCAAGCGGCAGCTTCCTGACGCGGTGCGGACCTCCGGATGCTTTCAATGTTCTCCAGTCAACTTTTTTTTTTGCGACGTCGAATGGTCGCCCCAATGTGATGCAGAAAAGTCCTGCCCCGCGGTGCAGAGTAGGGGAAAAGTGGAGATTACCGCAGGCAAATACAGGCTTGGGATGTCAAGTCAAGCTCCTCCAAGCTCTATGGTGGGGGACGACTGGCAACTATCAAATGTCTGGTATGTAGAACCATGGCAAGTATTTGACTGCATGTGCCGTTTGGCGTTGGGCCACGGCTGATTCATATTCATTAGCAGTCAGAGGATACTCACAGAACATTGCAACGACTACTTAAGGCGAGACCACTTGAACACGGAGCAATCGATAGGCTTGGCGGGCAGAAGCACTTTGTCCAGCTCCGATAAGATAAGCCGTCTGCATTATGTACTCAAGTACGTGATACATTGTACAGACCACGCACTCCCGACCCTTCCACTAAACACTGGGCTATCCCAATAAGAATACGCTTCACATGAGGTTAAGATGAAAAAAAAATTATCTCACAGCTTGAAGCCACTTTTGAATGGCATTCAACCTAAACGCCATGAACCACTGGCAACTGTTTTGCAAGTTGGCCAACAACGAGTTGTCCATACGGGGCAAGTTACACATGGACATGGACATGGCAGGTTGGGAGGAGACTACAGATGTCGCTACGTGGACTGGCAAATTCTGCAGCCAGGATGCATTCGGCGGCGGTCTGCCGATTAGCGCAACAAGGCTCATAACCAACGTATCAACAGCTCCTTCACCAAGCGACCGTTCCAGTCCAGCCAGCCTCATGTCCAAACGAAAAAAAAAAAAAAAAGAGTACTCACAACCCACAACCCCGCACCCTCAACAAGGCAGCTTGCTGTGTGTGACTCGAGTTTGCGCAATACATGATGTATTTGATGTACTATGTATGTATGCGCTGGCCCACGTCGCCTTTATAACCCCGAGCGTTGAATATGCAGGCATGTGTGGCGCGTCATACAAGCAGAGGAAAAAAGTCCTTGAAGAGAGCTTCCGGTGTATCGACTACAGTCGAGCAAGTTGTCAGCAACAACCCGCTTGATGAAGGCCCCGTGAGCCTCCGATGGCAACAGCCATACTGTGCTCCCATCCCACATAGCGAACGAATGACGAGGGGAGCCAAAATTATTCCAGTTAGCTTCACCCGCATGCACAACTCAGATCCGATCTAGGCAATCACCCGTGTGAGACGCTGTCAAATGTGTCAGAGCCTCAGCCGTGTTGCTCACATATCCCCGAATCATGGCAATGTACATCAACACCATGGCAAAGTACCTTTGGATGAAGACAAGGTCCCCCCCCCTCTCACACGGAACCAACCCAGGTGGCTGGGCAGGCTGGCTTTTGGCGGGATCTGCACAAGGAAACCTCCCTCTGTCCCTCACATGGAATGGCAGATGGCTGATGCAGGTGAAGGAAAAAGAATCGGCCATGGAGGGGCGGAAGGGCGGAACGTCATTGCGGAGCGTGTCCAGATGGGTGTGGTGTATGGATATCGGGCCTCGAGTGCCTCACGTTTCTCAAAGTGCTTCTTGGCCTCGTCTCTCAGCGTTGAACCCCACATGGTCGCTGGTCAAATTCAACAACTACTGCATCACTCCACCCGTCGCAAAATGTCGGTGAGCAATGCTGCGGACAGGCCACGGCCCTTTTAAGGGACCGAACTGGTAGCTGGCAGAGGGGGCAACGCGGCAAACAGCCATGACGGAAATCTAGACTTGGGCAGTCTTTGATTGGGATTGTGCATTCTGGTGTGGTTGATGATAGGGCTGTCAAGAATTCATGTGGGTTCAATTCCAATGTTGAGTCAACAGGTCAACAGAAAAAGGCAACACGCACTGCGGCATTGCGGGGGTCGCAGCCAGCCTCTGAGAGCTCGTCTTTTTCGGTCTGGTCTGGTCCGTTCCTTCTCTGCCTTCTCGTCAACTCGTCTTGGTGGAGCTTCGGCTTCGGCATCAACTCCGGTCATTGTTGCCAACATTGAAGCACCAGACCTTGACCACCTCACTTAATAAAAAGCCGCTGGGCTTCACCACTGACCGAATGCTTGCCTCCATGTACCGCTGAGCTATCCAGTAGCCAAGTGTGACAGGCTTTGCTAATAGTAGCTATTCATAAAGTCTATTAGATTGATGTCGCCAGATATCAGCAACCCGCACAGCGAACTTGTCAGAGAAGGGTGTTTGACAGACTTGCCTACCTCCCAATCTGCCCACCCTCTCCATAGAGCTCCGACTTCCGACTTTTGACTCTCTGCTTTACCAACTGGTGCATACAAACTGTGTGCCTGTAATTTTTGGACGCCATCTCTTACATATGCCAGTTACCCAGGGCGGAGGGAACGCATACATACTAAGTAGGTATCGTATGTACCTAGACCCAAAGACTGTGGCCTAATTAAACTAACCAAGAATCGTATCGTTGGCCAATCATGCGTCACTTTTGTAGCAACTCAGTACTGTCCCATAGGCTGGCGGATGCAGGCGTCCAAGTTCAGGGCGAATCAAGCGGCATATTTTCGAAATCTTTGCGCTACAAGGCTCATTGGCTCTTGCAACCATCTCGTTGTTTGGACGTTGTAGACGAGTTGGAAAAGACGAGAAACAAATACGGTCGTGGTCGATTTTGCTCATATCACATCGAGGCTTATTAGTGGACCGAGATGGCACGACTCAAGCTGGCGGCCCCGAGTTCCTATGGTACTAGTACTCCTACTCAGTATTGCATATGGAGTTGTCCCGAATCGTTCTTGACAACAGAAATTTGACAAACTTACTTGAGAGCCCGCCAACCCCTCTTCTGCTTCAATGACTCCATGTGGGATTGAGGCGTTGAGGTCAACGACAGAACAACAAACGCTCGACCTGCCGACTTTGTAAGTATTTGCCGCAACATCTTGAGTTACTACTACTCCGTACAACGCTCAAGAATTCTACGGCCCATTCCAAGACCCCTCCCCACTCTTTCCCGCCACCGCTTGGTGAGGTCATGTTACGGAGAGTATCGTGGTCGTACCCACTTAGATGTTCATGCAGACCTTGCTAGGCTAGACAGATTCGACCGAACGTTCTCTCTGATATGGAGTACGGAGTAGTGCCCATGGATTTCGAACCCAAGCACTTGAGAAGCCATCTCCACCACATAGAGTCTGGAATGATGTAGTTCGTTTGCCGTGACGAAAGCGTGGAGTGGGACATGCAGGGTCCTGTTCAACTGATGTGCAGGTGCTTCCCTACGCACACGTAACGGCGAAGTAGGAGACCATGAAATGTGACGTTGGCCTTGCACCACAGAATCCACATTCTCCGTTTTGCTGTCTTCTGGTCTGAACGTCAAGGCCATGTTTCAAAAACTCACGTGAGCACGGCAGAACTCTCACCTCCAGAGTTTGCGCGAGCCCAACTACGGAGTCATCTGTACTGCAAAGTTGGCAAGTCGGCAAAACTTTCCGGTAGGCAGAGGGTTAAAATGAACCTTTGGGGGCAAACAAACTCATCTGCCAACGGTGCCAACTGACCTGGCCTAGCTCTCCGACGAGCCCCAATTGCTGAATTGGAGACGGAGAGAAGAATACTTATTTATGACTCTGTATCCCGTAATTACTAGGTGAACAAATCAAAAAGCACAACAGCCTGATGTGAAACGAAAATATGGAAACCACGCAGAGAATATGGCTGATATATCTGATTGGTACTCCGTAGATTGGTTCTTGCTGCGCTCGGAATAGCCGCCCACGAAGTTTAACTTCGTGTGGCCTCGAAACCAATGTCTAGCTAGCTGATTAGCGGTCTGCGTTGGCTTGCGAGCGTACGCGACGTCCTGTGCGCTTGATACTCCCCTTTTCGATTCTGAGAAAAAGGAGGGGCCAGTAATACATGAGACCAAGAGTGCATTTTGAAATATTAGTTGTCTGTACGACTTGTCCCAGCCAACTAACCACCAGTCAGTCGGTCTTGTATGCCGCCGACGGCATTTTACCGAAACCGGGCTGCATAGCCCTGCCCTCCCAAGCGCCTACCTGCTCTGGGTACTCAAGCGTGTACGGAGTACGGAGCAGGTATCTTTTGGCTAGGGCCAAGTACTGCCCAGGCCGAGCCAAGTACTCCGTGCCCCCAAAGTTGCTTCCTCAATACCAATACCAGACCTGACGTTATGGGCGTATGTAGAACCCTGTGCCTGATGGCGCAGCCTCCGGCTACCAGAGACTCGATTAGGATCAATTGATCCCTCCACTCGCCCCATGCCCATGTGTATCCCCTCATGCCCCCACTCCCTTGCGCCTAAAGCTGGGCTTCGTGACCCCGAGAGACACTGATGGACGATGTCTGAGACCCTAGCAAGCTTCGTTGGCGTCCGGCGCTCTGCCCTGACTGAGTGGCTCCCGTGTACGGAGCACTTGGCCAGGTATGTATTATGCATTTGCCTGTCTTCTTTGTCGCCTGCCAGGTTTTCCCTCTTGTCTGGGCTTTTTTTTGTGCTTCTTCTCTCTCGCCAAATTATTCTGTGGGGGGCTTCGGCAGCTTTGCTCGGGGCTCTCACATCTGGCATTTCGGGTTGCGACGCCTAAACTTCCTTTCGTTATTCATTCGTCTGAGTCGTCTTCAAAATTTGATTTTGTTTCCATTTTCCCCGCCGTACAACATCTCACCAGCGTACCTTCGTTCCCGAGGATTGGACAAACAAGGCAAGTACACTTAATTAAACGAGAGATTGCCCACTATCAATGTTACCACCCAGTCCCATCATGTCGACGGTCCTCTTAAGGACTAAGCTCGCCTCTCAGGAGACGGTGCAAAACGTGTCTATTTCGGGGAAATCAAAGGCAGCAGGCCCATTTCCCGCTCTTTCTT